GTTTTAATGGTGTTCTCATTAGAAATTGTGGATTTATGTGTATATTTGGTGTTAAATTTAAGGTCTTGTTGCCATTTCTACTTTGAAAATGTGCCATGATGTCTACATTTGAAAAAAAAAAACATCTTCTGGGCTATGTCCCAATTTATTACATGTAATCAAATGTTTTTGGACACCAAATCAGACGATTAAAACTGTATTAAGATGTCAAATAAAATCATTTAAACCTAGTAGACAAATTATGATTAGAGCATTTAAACGACAGTGTTATGAGGATTGTACCCGGTCAATTCAAGATGGCGGCTAAACATGCTAATGTCCAGAACATGCCTCTACCTCTACGGTACAAGCTCTCAACATTCTAAAACTAATTGGTTTCCAATGATTGAAAGATGTTCTCTTGTTTTGAAAAAATATATTTATAGTACATAAGTACTGTGAAAACATTGAATAATCAGTCATCACACCAATTAGGACGTACATTTATAGTTTAAGTTAATAGTTTACAAATCACACAGTCAAAGATTGAAACTTACTCAATTTCGGTTGAATAAAAATTCACGAAATGGAAATAAATCCCAATTAATTGAACTAAAGTCTAGAATCAAAGAGGAGACGATAGTCAAGTAAGCATCGAGGAAAATTAAGATTGAATAGCCTTGGGGCTTATATTGATCCTAACGCTGTGGTTGAAAGAGTCTGAATCCCTCATTTAACCTTATTTGAATTCAAATAAATGCAAATCAAATGCAGGCGGTAATATGCGACTGCATTGCAAATTTGCTGCGTTGCACTAAACTTGATTTTGATTAAACGCTATTTCAGTTCGCTGTCATTGTGGTGCGTTAATTGGAAAGTTTGTAATGTTTGTGTAGTGTTGAGAAATACTTGTTTGGCTAATAATTTGCGATTTGTTGCTATTGAGGATATATAACTAACTATTTTATTCGTAAATACAGTACCTACAATAATATCAGCGTTACGCGTACTAAGAGGGTTAGACTTTAGGTAAGTTTAACTAGTGCAGTTAGATTTTAAGTTGAAACACTTTTTAATTGCAGTATTATACTTAATGATTTTTTTTTTTGTTAAATTATATCCTAATATGTAGTTTTGTGTGATTTTATGCCAGCAGAATTTCTTACGCTTTTTGTAAGGAATAGACGAAATTGAAACCATGGTATTATAATCATCACTACTATTACAATTTTATAAAATAATTTTTCCATCACTTGAAATTTCCACAATTATACCGTAATAATTTAGGAGACGACAAACATGTACGAAATAATATGTTACGATGGCGAGTAATTTTAACCAGTCATGCCCATCATAAGACCCGATTGGTGTTTACAATACAAGTGCACATACATCTTAAGCTATTGGAAGGAGTTTTTTATGTGAGCGAATTAAAAAGAAATATACGTGAGAAATAAAATAAATGGTAAACACTTATATGGGCACTTGAATTGACGAGGAAATAACTGTATGTTTATTAAAGTTAGGTTTGTTTCACTAATTTATTCTTCCTTATCCAATACGAATTGAATGTAAAATTTTACACAGACAAAAAATATTATTCAAATGAAATTGTACAAATGTTGATAATATTTCTGATAAAAATGTACAAAAGCTTAATTGTGAAAAACTATTTTTTCAAGCATCTCGTAAAAACTGCTTACAATCACAATCCATTAAAACAACTAAGTACGTTGGGTGATTCTCAGTTCTGAATATAAATTAAAATGTCGGTTAAATATAACTTTCACTTAATAAACATCTGAACCAAAATCAAAGAAAATATTCGATTATGTCAAAAGATAACTTGTTGAAAGTTTCTACTAAGAAGGGCTGGTGTAGCAATTCTCGGAGCTCAGTGCTATCCTCTGTCAAGGGATGGCTGGGAGACATACTTGATGTGATTATATGACAATGCTCCGGCCACTTAGTGTACCCTTGAGGCTACTGTGTTTGCAAGGTACGAGAAATGTAATTTAGTACATAAATTATATACGTAGGACACTAAAATATTTGGTTAGGTAATTATAAGGCAGATTCGAACCTGAGAAAAGTCAGCAGATTTTTGATGGTTCGAAATTGGACCCAGCTGTGATCATTGGGCTTTTGCCTGACGAAATAGCTGATCTTAGTTAGTAACAAAGCTACAGAGATCATCTCACACCAATACTCATCCTTCTAGGTGGCGTCCCGATCTCAGTTGATGATGATGACAATATTAATAATAATGATAAAAATAACAGGTGTCCAAAACCACCCTTTTAGGAGCACTGCCTATGCACAACATAATGGTGAATGAAACTTAGTGAATCAATCATATAGATAGACACCATTTAAATTATAGGTTAAGTAATATTATTCTATATCCATACAATTCTGTTGGTTGAAACCTGGGTTAGTGTCTATATATGATGAACGCAATATAGTGCTTCAAACTTAGACACCATTAAAATATAAGTATTAACTTTCCAATAGTCAATGGTATAAGATTATAAGGCAGGAGGTATAAGTAAATTCGAAGGTTGTAAGAGGAAAATATGATTTGGAAGTTTGAGACAAGGATGATCGTTAACTAGTCCAATAGTTTTAAGAGCAAACGAAAACCCAGTTTCGAAGTTAAATTTTAACATCTAATTAGCTACATTAATTTTATTGTGTGAATATATCATTCAGATTTAACTTGATCCTTATTTTAAGTACAAGTTTACTAAACGTATTGAACATAAATTACTGAAAACCCAACTCCTTTCTAAAGAGCCAAAAACTAAACATTAGCTACTTTACTTCAAAGCGCTTTGCCCCACACCATGTTCTTCTTACCCTCTCACGATCTCAATTTTGAGCTTTTGTAGCAAATTTGATAACCTAAAAAAATTAGCAATTTGTTTGCTAAATTGCAATGGGTTTGTGTATTTATTTATTTTTAATGTTTAAGTTGGTAAATGTCTACCCCTAAATACACTTTTAACATAAATTTACCACACAGTAAAATTGTATTAATTTCTGTTCCTATACAACTTTAAACTTCAATTACAAGAAACATTTAAAATCCTTGGTTTAATTTATGTCCGTCGTGGTGTTTTGGGAAATCATAAAAAAATGAAATCTGGAACCAAACACTTGTTTAAGAAGAATCCTTAAACATTTTACCCTCAACTGATAGTAAGTAAAACAGCTTTAGGTTTTTTGCCAATCTACTAGTAAGAGACTGATTTCGAGGTGGGAATCGGGTTCGATTCCAGACTTATGTCCTAAATAATTGAATTGAGAAGTGTGCACCTCTTTTCCTAAAAAAAATCCTATCATGCTTAAGAGTTTAATTATGTCATAAATGTTATTTCGTGAAGTTGAGTGGATGTTATTTAATGCATTAACTAGGGACGGGCTTAAAACAGTCAAGAACGATGTTAAATATTTCTCTCTGATTTTATTTTTATATAATACAACAATATTTTCTTCAATCATTTACCCCTATATTGTAAATGTCGACCAAACAGTCGTATCTATACAAATAGAGCTTCTTATGTACATAAAATGTTCGTACCTAAAATTTGTTGAATTAACTCAAAATCTATCGACTTTGTTTAGTCTAGTACAGTATCTGTTTGTTTAAAGGTAAACATTAGATAATAGAAGTAGAATCATACGAATACAGTGCGTCTTTGTTACTACGTACTTTTGAACTGAATCCTTTACGACAAGATTCTGTCTTGTAGTATTCTCTTTTTTTAATGTCGTTGTACAATCCATACAACATTACAATAATAGAGAAATCCATACTTATCTACTTTACTCAGCTAATACACCTATATGTTGTTACGTTTTTGAATAGTTTTAACATTTAACACAGAAAGTTGTTTCAGACATATTACGTTGTGAACCCTGTGTATTATTAGACAGTATCAAGCTTTGTGGGGTAGATTCGCCCTTCTGCCCTTGTCAGCAGCTAGGAAGGGCTGATGTTATCTTTGTATCTTCTGTGTAGCCAGACTGAATAAATGTTTTTTATTGCACGCGATCGAAACTTGCCAAACATTGTAATAATGAATTTTTAATGTATACCCGTCTTTGTTTTCATCTCTATCTTTGAATCAGATATGATCAAACGAGGTCAAATATGGATCGAGAAATATTAAGAAAACCATTAAGCTTAAAAAAATCCTCAGTATTTTCTATTTAATTAACAGTTAGTTGTGGTAGATTGATGGGTTTCTTAATAGGTTTTGAATAGTTTTTTACTCTCAGTTATCAGATTATGTTTATGCATGTTTCATCATGCCTGAATAGAAGTTGCTTGGTTAGTCTTATAACAAAGTTTTATGTAATTTTTCATAAATATATAACTTTATAATAAAATTCCTCATGTGTATTGATTTTAACTCCTTATTCATCACTTTTTCCTTTAACTTGAAGGCCTTTCTTGTAACAGCATGGATTTTACTAAATCTTTAAGAAAAATTTGCCTTAAGCCTAGTAAGGCAACCAACGACATAAAAATTCAATAATTTTGTCCTCAGATTCTGCAAAGTTCTGAACCTAAATATGTATAATCCATCACAATGTTTTCCATCATACTTGCCTGTAGTCATAAATTTTACTGGTGGATTTTTGCACTACAGATAATTTTTTTTTTATTATATCGTATCGCCACCAAACTGATCTTCTATACATATTTCCATAGATTGTGTTTTACAGTGGCTATTTAACCACACTATTTCAAAATTTATACTAAAGGATTTTCAAATTGAAGTGAAATGTGTGATTTTTTTGCATCCAAGACTATGCGCATGTGCAGAAGACTTCAACGGTTAGCAACTGTCGGCTTCCCATTCTTTGCGTCGCCTCTACAACCTAATATAACTTAACCCAACCTAAACTAACTTAACCTACCGTACTACTGCCACTATTTATCCTCTTTGATAAATACTGTTTTGTAAATGATTTCCAATTAATATCTTGATATTGTTTGTCGTTTGTCGCAGGTGCGGGTAACCAGGCCATGGCGCTGAGCCTTGCTGCGCTGCGCCGACGACACATCCTCTTCGTTCTCATCCTAGTCTTCATTCCGTGCAGCATCTTCGTGCTGTTTTCTCAGCCAGGTAATTTAGTAATTATAAATTATTGACAATAATTGTATATATAAGAGGGTTGGACCAAAGTGGACAGGTAAATTTCACCATAATGACAAATGTACACGTGACAAAAAGTAAAATACTTAAAGATGTAATCGTGTAAGGTAAGTTGTCAATATGCGTTTGTGGCTACAAGAAATAAAAAGAACGGCAACAAATGTGAAATGATGTCTCAGAGTATGATGATGACATCCATCATACTCAGTGTTCACCAAACAGGCATAGATATGTGTGCAGTCATAGTTATATTTCTGCACCACCCTGTATCGAAGTTTATCGCAGAATTTTGTATGGTACTATCATAAAAAATAGCGAGTCATGAAGTGTCTACAAACACTTGTTTTAAAGGATGAAAGTGGTTTACACTTTTAAACCATAATTTATTTTTATTATCTTCCCTCCACACTTGGCACATTTGACCGGGATGTTCTAGTATTTTGCTAAAAATCTGTGTGCGTCATCATTCAGGAATGCGTCCTATATGTCGGGCATAGTATATTTCATAACACAACTAGAAAATTTGAGACCATGTTTGAAGTCCGAGATTTATTGAGCATATGTTTATCGAGAATATGTATAGACCCACTTTCACTAATGTTTGTGAACGTCACTTTTTGCTATACTAAAAAGACTAATTATTTTCTTAATTAAAACATACATTGATTATTTCTCTATTACAGTTAGTTAGGAACATTACAAAACTCATAGCATTTTAAGGTCATGCCTTCAACTTTAAGTTAATATTTACTTTGGTTGTACCAGTTGTTGAAAATTGAAACAGTAGACAAAAAAAAATAGCAAATCATTGTTTTAGTCGGCAAAATCCCAGAAAGATAGTAAACATTACTTTTGTAATGTAAACATTCTTTTTCCGTAGTAAACAATGTAAAGATGAATTTTCGCAGGTGATATACATGTAACGAAAACAGGTTATTTCACAGTAGTTTAGCGATAATTTAATTTTTGTAATTGTAGCTACAGTACAAAGTTTCACATGAGAAATATCAATAATTAACTCCAGATGTTTTTCATTGGTCACGGTTTGTTATGCAGATAGATTCTCTTTGAAGGATTTTTTGATGGAAATTGAGACCATCGATGTGCATTTGTCATTTTGAAATTAGTCTTTTATTTGATTTTTTTTTACAAATGGTTTGTAAATGCATGAAATTGTATGAGTAGAAGGGCGAATGATTTTTTACAATGTTCTCCTCTGTAAAGCCCAGATATCCCCAAAGTCTGAAGATGAAGGATCGAAACTAGTTTGACGAGAGATGAATAGCTTGACAGATTGTCCTATTAATTACATTACAAAGTCCAATGATCAATCACTGGTATACAAGCTGTCAAGATCCCTAACTACGGTAATCCGTCATCGAATTTAATCCATTTTCTATTAAATTTTGTCCTAAATTTAAAACTTGACTGAATTTGTTTTCAAAGTTAAAATTAAAATTAATTTTCGAGTTAACGGTATTTTCCTCCTTTAATTTCAAACTTTTCTTTTAAAAGGCCCAATTTTTAACTTGAAAATATTTTTCTAAACAAAAGATTATAGTGGAGAAAACACTGTCAACATTGGTTTGAAAATGTTTGTTGTAGAAACTGTTTACAAAAATACATATAACACCTTTATTCTTAATAATATGATAAATAGGTTTACATAGCTTATAAATTCGACATATAGCTCAATTTTGTAAAGGTTGTTTAGTTTTAAAATTGAGCTGTATGTCGTATTTTTTAGATATGTAAACCTATGTATCAAATTGAATATAACAGCTCAGGAGCTAGAATGGAAATGCATTTTAATTTATTCTTTAGCCTTAATCATAAAAATCACATGTTAACAAAAATTTTCATAAAATAATGTTACACGATTGTCATAGAATCTTCAATTTTTGGTTTGTACGTCTGAAAACAGCGTTCACATAAAGTGATTCATTTCAACTGCACTGTATATTAGAAACTATCTAAAAGCTTGATCATAACGCTCAAACAAGTTTATAAGATGTTTTTGTTTGCTTTGTCGAATATTTCCTATCTAGTTGGATGTAACTTAAGTGGCAGAATAGTGAAATTTGTGAAAATAAATGATTTAATCGGAGTCAACCAAAAAATGACCATACTAGGGGTAGGAGTCAATAATAAAAAATGTTTTCTCAGAAGCCGACTTTCCGTCTTTTGGAGAAATCCATTCACTAAAAGTCAAACAAATAAAATAAAAAAATATAAACCCAAGCTTACGAGAAAATAGAAATAACAGTGGCGCCAAATCTGTAAACTGTGTGTAACTGTGTATGTTTGTGTGTGCGGTGGTGGAATTACTGCTATTTTCATTGTCTTCTGAAAATACCCATAAAAGTGTCATCACCCCTTCACATATCATCATACGATTCGAAATAGACGGAACTCATCCAAAAATCCCCTGAAGCACCTCTTACTTCTGTAGCACTCACAAACATTTTACGATCCACAACTCTAGACAAAAGATGTTGAATAGGTAACCAGTGTTAAATATTTGTCGAGGAGGTGATGTAAAACGGACACGCCAGTTTGTGCTTGTGAGCTAACAATACAGAAGCAACAAAGCCAGAAGCGAGGGGTGCTCAATTATGCACAAGCCTTCTGTTTGCATGTTCCCCCGGCAAACAAAAATCTATAGCTTCCCTCTTGCATTTTAAAACGCCAGTAATCATTCAACAGTTCAATATCTAGTCTCTTAAGAGTTTTCATTCAGGAAAGTAGTAATACAATACTAACCATACTCCGTTCACAATATTCACGGTTCATATTAGATGGTTTGGGGGAAGTTCTCCCATCACTTTTTTGTATTAAAAAAAAAAAACACCAAAGCAGTGCTTAGTGTTGTTGCTTAATCACCTGTTGAGCTATCAACAGCTATCAATCAGCTATCAACTATCAACTATCAACTATCAACTATTATATTAATAGGCAAGCATGTTTCATTTAAACCTTTTTTCTCAGCTCGTGTGCATCGCAGGGAAATTCTATGCATACTCTTAGAAAGATATTTTCCTGTAGATGTGCAGAATCCCTTAATAAATTAAAATAGGCTCATAAATAAGCCCAAAAAATGAATTTGAAATTTAAAACAAAGTAACATGGTCCTTTTGTATTGCCATGCTGGTGACAAAATAACAACGAAATATCAACAGAAAATCAAAACAAATGGAAGCAATCACATGATTCATTTACAGCGTTGGGTAAAAATAAAGTCTGTACATTAGTACATTACATATTTTTGGTCGAGTTTTCGACCACTGGACGACCTCTAGTTATTATTATTTTAAAGAAGGTTCAAGTAAAGGGGATGGATTTCTTCCCCTAAAACCGCTGAATTTCTCCCCCTACCATTGTGAATGAAGTGTAGTAATAGAAAGTAAAACAGTTGTGATTTCTTTAGGTTCCTATTTTTATATACTAGGGGAAAACTATGGGGCTTGTGTAGAACTCATGAAAACAAATTAATTATTTAAAAATTACAACTTCTGGAAAAGTCATTTTAGACTACTGTAGCAATTAATAAGGTACCTCATATAGGTAAAAGGGTACAAAGTAACAAAGTTTTTTTTATCTTTATACATTTTATCCTATATTTGTATCTTTTATCACAATTTTATATACATCCCAATCTTATCTTTTCCCACTAAGTTAATCTATTTCCTGGCTCATGAATCTTTACCTTATCATTATATTGCTATCTAATCTTTTAATATTATTTACAAATTAATTTTCATTTAATTTTTGATTGATTTAACAATTAATATTCATTAAAACTTAATAAAATACTGATACAAATCGACTCAAATACAATGTTCTTATGGTATTGTGACAGTTAAAAAATATTAATGTAAAATACAATTATAAAAAAAAAAAAAATCCCTCACTCATAGTAAAACATTACATTACATTACATACCTTATCATTATATTGCTATCTAATCTTTTAATATTATTTACAAATTAATTTTCATTTAATTTTTGATTGATTTAACAATTAATATTCATTAAAACTTAATAAAATACTGATACAAATCGACTCAAATACAATGTTCTTATGGTATTGTGACAGTTAAAAAAATATTAATGTAAAATACAATTATAAAAAAAAAAAAAAATCCCTCACTCATAGTAAAACATTACATTATTTTGCATATAACGTTGGGGGAATATAAAACAGGTAAAGAAAGAGAATATCGCGAGACCTTGAACGCTTTTCTTTCACAATATTTTATGATCCACCTTCATTAACGTCAGCTGAAATTTCTTTAACCTTCATCTAAATTGTGTGCTGTCTTCAAAGAGTCAACTTGTCATATTTAATGGACGGCGTTAATCTTGATTGCATTTTAGAAATAGTAGAATTCCACTGGAAATGTTTCCTAGACACTACGTTTGTTTATAGCGAAACTAAGTACTAAGCACAATCCAAGTGTTTTAGTGCTTTGTGATCGATAAGGATCAAAAAGAAATAAAATTAACTCCTAAAACAAGCTTAGTGTAAAGTACGTTCTTGCTAAATAACAATTTGTTTCCAGTTGACATAATCTGGTTGGTAACAATAGTTAGTGTAATGAAACAATGTCATCTACGATTTTCTATGTATAAATGACTATTCCAGTGTTATTTTGTTTTGTGACGCTAAGCGTCTGGGATTGTTTTTCACATTACTTTATGCTAGACCTATCGTTGCGGCATCACTTAAAAATCCATCGGTGATTTGGCGGGTTTGAACCTAAGACCTCAGGGACCAAAGTCTTGCACTCTACAACTAGACCAGCTAGCTCATAGACTCATTTAGGATTTCAAACCTTAATGGGCAATCTTTCAAAATCTTTTTTAACACAAATATCACAATAACAAAATCTTTTACTTTACTTAAATAGTTACATTTTGTCAACTTAGAGGATGGGTTCCAGTACAAACTAAATAAAAAGTGTTTAAATGTATAAGCATTGACTTTGATACTGAAGCAGACATGCCAATTATATAGATCAGTTATAGATACTTTATAATCAAAGAGCAATTAATTTGTGTAATTAATTTATTATAGACTATGCTGCTCTTTAAAGTCTGTTTTCTCTTTTAGCTTATTCATCGTGTGATGGTTTTTAATAAGTCGGCCTTTTCGATTGGCACTATTAAAAAGTTTTATTTGTAAGAAAAGGGTATGTCAACTTGAAAGTGTATTGATGATAAAATAACAAGTATAAATTCATAAACAAAAAGGAAAACTATATGACTACTTCAAAACATTACTATTTATAATATATTGTTTTTTTTAAGTAAGTGCATTGTATTGTTGCACTAGTTATTATAACTTATGAAAGTGGCGTTGTGTTGCTTAACAACATGTTTACACTTGTAAACATTCACCATATCAACCAAACAACCACTAACATTGTGTTCCTGTGCATACCATATATACCTCTGCTTCAACAATCGACCCTTATTCTTCTGGTAAAACCTGCATTAAATCAATTTCAAAAAGTTTGCAGCTTTAATGATACATATACTCTTACAATATAAAACTTAAGCCACAATATATAACTTAACTTAAGACTTGTACTTTTCAACATGTACAAGTCTAAATTATCAGTATTGATTAACTATGACATCGACTGTTTAATAAAATTTTTAAGTTAACATGGTATGATGACGAAAGTAACTGTCCATGTTATAAAATGTTATCCTTTTACGTTCATAAAATCTTATGGTGTCACACATACTCTATACCCAACAGTGTTTTTATACATAATTTTTAATTTCTCTTGATTCTATCCCGGAATGATTCTCCACTAGGCTAGCTCTAGAGGGGGTTGCGGCTTGTCTGTTGGATAAGAATCATAAGTGATTGGCGGGATTTGAACCCAGTACCTTGGAGACCGAAGTGCCACGCTCTACAACTAGACCAGCTTGACTCGTTACCCAATTTGGTTGGAACCAATGTGTTCATTTAATTATTTTGGGTTCTTTATACTAATCATTTGTGTATTCTTGTGAACTTTAAAACACAACATAGTTCAATGCGTTCATCACATTTTCCACTTAAACTCAAATTTTGCAAACCACGCTTCAAAAGTGTTAGTCTTCACAGGTTAGGAACACATTTTCAAAAATAAAAATTGATAGCTACCATAATCTGAAATACAATAAAGTATTTATGAAAATTTGAAGTGTGATTTTTCAAAATCAACAATGAACGATTTTCATCTAAACTAACTTTGTGCAGAATCGATCAATAACTCAATAATGTAACTGTGAAGCTTAAACGATTTTTAATTTATCCTAGATTGAACTCATTTTAACCAGAAATGAACCTAGATGAATTTTTACCCGTGATACTTTTGAATTAACAGCAAAAGTTAAATGCCCAATTAACATTATTGTTCTGTAAGTTGAACCGAGCGAAAACCAAAGAGAAATGTTTGCAATCAACTCAAACCTCGCTCTTTTAAACCAACAATACCTGTTTAATTGCCTCATTTTGCATTGTAATATCTCTTATTCCTCCTTGACTGTGCTCAAGGAAAAGTTTTATACTTTCTTATTTCAACTGTAAGTTTTGTAACAAATTTTATTTGGAATATTAATTACTTATTGTTATATTTTAGAGGCAGTGAAATATTAAAAACATTGTAATTTTAATTAATAAAAGTTTTAATTTAGTTTGGATCCTGCTAACAAGGTTAAACTCAGCAGACTCAGCTTAAAATATTACAGTATAAACAAATTGCTTACAAAAAAATTATTTTGCTCAAACTGAATTGCTACATCCTTAAAAAATAATGGTTGTTTTCAAAAAATTGCTGAACGTTTTAGCAAAATCTGAAAAACTACCTCGATGCGATAATGGATTTAGGTCAGAAACCTTCCAACTTTGTGATAAATGGTTGGGTTCACAAACCACCTCACAGTGGAGTTGAATAATGTTAAGTCTAATATCAGGCTTAAGAGTTCTTGAATTCTAAGTGCTTCTCTAGAATAAGAAGGCTTTACAAGAGGAACCTTGTCACCTTCATTATTTCTAGATTGTTATTCTTACGCAAAAGCTACGTTAAAGCTTTTTAGGATAATTATAACGATGGATGATTACAGTTATGTTGCGAGAATAGTTATACAACATTTTTATGTGTGTGTTAATGCTTTACAGCAGCATGGACCATCTATCTATCTATATATTAATAGGCAAGCATGTTTCTTTAAAACCTTTTTTCTCAGCTTGTGTGCATCGTGGGGTAAATCTGCGCATACCGTTAGAAAGCAATTTTCCTGTAGGTGTGCAGAATCCCGTTATAAATTTAAATAGGCTCAAAGATAAGCACAAAAAATTAGTTAAAAAATTTGAAAAAATTAACATGGATCTTATGCGTTGCCATGCTGGTGACGAAATAACAACGAAATATAAACAGAAAATCAAAACAAATGGAAGAAACTCCAATCACATGTTTTATTTACAGTGTGGGGTGAAAATAGAGAAGTGAGTACATTACATATTTTTGGTCGAGTTTCGACCACTGGACGACCCCTCGTCTATATATTAATAGGCAAGCATGTTTCTTTAAAACCTTTTTTCTCAGCTCGTGTGTATCGTACGGAAAATCTACGGATACCGTTAGAAAGCTATTTTCCTGTAGGTGTGCAGAATCCCTTTATAAACTAAAATAGGCTCAAAAATAAGCACAAAAAATGAATTTGAAATTTTAAAAAATTAACATGGGTTTTATGGGTTGCTATGGTGATGACGAAATAACAACAAAATATAAACAGAAAATCAAAACAAATGGAAGACATTCCAATCACATGTTTTATTTAACAGTGTGGGGTGAAAATAGAGAAGTTTGCACAAAACATACTTTTGGTCGATTTTTCGACCACGGGGCGTGCTCTCGTCTACATTAACGGGCAATATTGTAACAATAATTAACCTGCAAGCAACTTGATTTTGTTGATGTATTAAACAGTTTAGTGATTGATACTATTATTAAATTTTAATGATTATGACACCCTCATGTTATTGTTATGTCTCTTTTTAAATGTTGATTGGACCTACATTTCACATTATGAAATGTGAATTAATGAAATTACGCACCAGCATTATTTTAAGCACCCTTGTGAATTAATGAAACAACTGCATAGTCTCAAATCAGAAATTTCACCAAAATTTCTTGTTTTTCTAACGTTATAAACATATTGTAAATGAAATATTTTAAAATTGATTTTTAAAGTTTGAAATTCCCTTAATTTATTACAATAACTGTACCTTATCAAATATTTAAAAAAATACTGTGACTTAAAACTTTTTACTCATTAAGATCTGAACAAAATATGGTTTCAGGAATTTCCTTAGATATTTCTTTTACTACTGTTTCCTCTCTATATAATTTACAAAGAAAACAGGACTAACATTAACTTTTTAGAGTCACCGTGAACTTTTACTTGAACTTTTGCAATCTTTTTAACTTTTCCGAGTTTTTCATAATTCTTAATAAACATAATCATCTTTAATACTCTTAATGTTTAAAATGTTCTTTGACAGTTAGTCTGTGGTTTGAATGTAACTGTAGTGTCAAAAAATACATTTCTCACATTATCTACTCTGTTGGTGTGCCAACCAGCTAAATCATGTAAATGTCCTAGGATTTTTTCCTGTGAACAAACAGAACAATGGATCTGTGCAGGCTTACAGGTGTATCCTCATTTGGTATAATAATATTATAATTTGAAAACATCACGTATATCCAATTGCATTCTTGTCATTTGTCCACAGTAGGCCAGCCTTTTCCTTTCAGTACCCAATACATTAGTTGCTACAAGAGAATAGTATGAAGGTTTACAGGATTTAATATTCTTTGATCTTATAATGCTTTTTCTGTCCCCAGATATGACTCAGGAACAAGCTGTGGTGCAGAGGATAGCAGAGTTACAGTTGAAGTTGCAGCATCTGGAAGCCATGTACAGGTGCGGATATACTTAGTTAATCATCTGAAACAAACATAAAAGAGCAATAGGGAGTTAATTTGAAAGTCAGATATGTTTGTAGGTCCGACTTTAAAAACTGATGTCTTTGGATCTTTTTTCTGGTTGTCTTTTAAACATTAGGACATTTATGAAACATTCACTAGGTAAACCTGGCAATATGTGACATTTGGGAGACCCCTGAACCAATTTTTGTCTGCACCGGTGCACATTTCTTTATTATAAAATACAAAGGCTAATTATTCACCAATGGCTTCCTATGGGTCGATGTGTGGTTCTAAAGTGTAATAACTCTGTTGAGTATTACATGTGTTCTACATTTTGTGTTCTACAGACCCGATTTCCTTAAATTTTTGGTAAGTCTATAAATATTTGATTTATCAGATACTGGAATCACTCAACTTTCTATGTATTTTTCTACAATTCATACTCTTTGAGCTTGCAAAAACACCATGTTGCATCCTATCCACAATAAATTCCCAATAACACTGGACTGCCTAGTCAAAAATGTATATCAGCTGATCGGCAATGAGGTAAAGAAAACCAACCTACTGATAAGTGTTTATCGCTACTTGTAAATTGGGATGCGTAAAAAAAACAAACTGTTATAGTTTGCTTTTGGTAGTAATTCAAATCATTCATTATATTTACATGTTTAATCAATCCATTTACTTGCAGCCCAAGTAAATCCTTTACTTGCCGAGTCATTGTCCTGTTCCACCCCAACTTGAGACGGGGTTTAGTTTAAATTATTTTAAAAATTAGATTATAATAGTCAATCATCTAAAAACATGCATTTCAGAGAGAGGGAAGAAGATGTGCACGTGCTGACACAGCAACTAGGTCAGCTGCTGATGGAGACGGTACCTCCTGGTGGTAACCTCAGCACTTCACTGCCTCTGCAGCTTAGTCCTGAGGCTCGTACATTGCTGAGGAACATGACAGGACTGAGGCCGGGTGGAGGAGATGCTGCACAAGTGCTGAGACTACCCTCTGCGTACCACTTCCTGCCACATCTACTGCTGAGTCCATCCAGTCTACGGCCTGCTATCAGCATATCCAGGGGACGGTCTGGAGGTGAGTTAATTATACATACATTGCTGAGGAACATGACAGGACTGAGGCCAGGTGGAGGAGATGCTGTCCAAGTGCTGAGACTACCTTCTGCGTACCCCTTCCTGCCACATCAACTGCTTACTCCAATTTCCATATACAAAATGGTTTGATACTTTTTTAACCCTCCGAGTGTCCCTTGTTTTGGCCTTAATGTCTGCCTATTTTTTGCTCATTTGCAAGGTTTTATTAAAACGGATCTGAGAAGCTTGAAAACAATGTTAATTATACTGTTCTATATACCATTTTGTTTGGAAAATCATGGGCTTCAATATTATACATAGAACATAAGGAACATTTGTTTCAAAAAAAATATTTTGGAAAATTAAAAAAAAAAAAAAATAAGTTCGCGCTCAATGAAATTGTATAAATTAAAGGCCTATAAATATTTGAAAATAGCCACTTTGTTCTAAATTTTATGAGGATTACAAATATGTAATAATATAAGGAAGTAGATTTGCAAATAAATAAGTTATGGGCAAAAAACAGATTTCAGTACATAGCGTTTAGCTAAGAATGCATAGCCTAACCATAGCTAGGAATCTGGCTGATAATTTACATCAATATCACTACCTACTTCTTAAGGATCATCAACCAGCCCTTCAAAATCACTTAAATCTTCTTATAATGCACCACGTATATCACTACTTTTGATTTTTAACACTAAAACAATGATAAACGTAACAAAACACATCAGTCATCGGTCCGAGGTTAATCAAGCTGTTTACAATTACGCACGTCAGCTGTCTGCTACAATATTTTCGGAACTAAAATGAATAGCGCTTAGAGACAGACCTCCGGAGAAAGCTCTGAATCTGTCAAATAAAACGATACCTAACTCGATCCAGTTCAATCCGATTTTGTCAGTCATAGAGCCTTCGCCGTAAACAGTGTCTGTGAGTCGCTGCAGCGACACAAAACACTACACAAAGTGTGTTATGTGTCGCTGTATAAATAACACTCGGAGGGTTAATTAATTGGACATCGCTGACAAGTTTTGTGTATTTGGCGATACCAAGCCAATGCTATGAATAAATATGTTTTAATTTGAATTTTGGCCATATTTTATATTGTAAATAATTCTGTTTGCCCCAAAATGTTTCAAATCAGTGTTGTAATTACCACCAGCACCCAGTGTGAAATCACAAATAACCTATTGTCAAACACTTACATAAACATCCTTCTCAACTGACGGATGTTTTACACCATTCTGTCATGACAAGCCAATGACCATTTGACAGCTGATTTCTGTGATTTGCCACAGTGTCTGTCGTGCTGGGTAAGTGTTAAACAGCTGATTTACTTGTAATTGTCACAGTGTCTGTCGTGCTGGGGATCCCCACAGTCAAGAGAGAAGTCCAAAGCTACTTGTTGGCAACCTTGCAGAACATCCTGGACAGTATGACACAGGAAGAGGAAGAGGACGTCGTCATTGTGGTCTTCATAGCTGAGGTATGTCGACTGTAAACTAGATGTTCATAGAAGATATTATCATTGACTTTTATACAGTCCCTCTATAACTCAATAGACCACAATGGCTGTTGATAATTTTGAATTAATGAAGGACACAGTCGAATAAGACTTTTGCAGAGTGTGCTGCTGTTGAAAATTCAATTTTCTTCTTTAATTTTAGGTACTATATTTTATGTGGACACATTAAACATTCTTATTTTTGGAACATTCAGTTTAGTTTAGTTGAAAAGTTTATGTACACAACAGAAGAGAATGATATCAATTGACGTGTTCCGTTGTTCATTTGAATTCTAATACTGGTGACAGACTGACTTGGGAACAGGATATCTACTTGTATCTATCAAAGACATAATTTAGCTTGAAAATGTGACTTGATTTAACCTTCTCAAAGTGGGTTTTTAAAGTTTATTTTGCCTATTTGAAGAACTGACAATTTTTTCAAATTCATCAGCCTGTAGTATGAAATGAAATGTAAATAGAATTTTTTTACTCATTGAGTAGTGACACTTTAAAAACGGCTGGGTAATAAAGTGGCCATCGCTAAAAGTCACAGTAAATTAAGTACAGGTTTTGATTTTTTTAAATACCTTTTCCTTACAAACACAATAATTTAAAACAACTTTTGTTGTAAAGTTGTTAGAAACAGGTTTTGTGAAAGTTTGTGAATTAATTGCACCACTTTAAAGCAACATTTATCCCAATGTACCTCTGACATAATTAGTTTTTTCTTAATAACACTCCCAACAAGAAACAAAAAGAAGAAGAACAAAAATTTACACGTCAACTAAATTACAACTACTGTAATTGAAACTAAACATTGTAAGAATTAATTTCCTGCTTCTACATCACATATGCAAAGTGTAGTTCACCTCTTGTGTCTGTTGCTGTTAGAATACAAAAACAAATTTCAAAGCATCAGTTGAAACATAAATACAGTATTTTATTTTAATGAGTACTCTTGAATGCTGCTGCTGAAAGCTGGGAGGGCTATTCATGTGAAATCCAACGTGTAAATGAGTCCAGCTTGCATTCCCTCGGTTATTGTTTCAGGCTACAAATCGTATGAGAATGTGTAATACTCTAATGACACCTGCAAAGCTATGGGGCATTTTGCTGTCTTGGATCTTAATTGTTTCAGTTGTATGGATTTATATCTGAAGTATTTTATCTTGTAATATTTTGGTTTTGAATTGATTTTGTCTTATCTTACAAATTTTGTAAGAAATCTATTATGTATACTATTTAAATTTTGATAAAACTGCTCTTTGGTTGAATTAAAACTGCCAATAGTAATTTTTACTAACAAAAAAGAAATGAAGTTAATTAATTTCAATTAAATATATATGTAAATTATTGCCGTTTTAGACGAGATAAATTGTTTTTTTGATGTAATCAGAAAAAATGTATGAAAAAAGTTTTAAAATATGTTATATAAATTTTAAATTTAGAGATGGAATAAATGTTTCTATATCAACAAACCACCAAAATTAACCATCTAAGTTACTAAACAATTATTTGACTTGGAGGATGCAATAAATCAAAGTTTGAAATAATAACCATGTTTGCTTCCTTTTGTTCCAGACTGATGAAGAATATGTAAATCAAGTTGCAAATGAAGTTAGAGACCAGTAAGTATAATTTACATTGGTTGAATAGCATTGTTTGGTGGAAATAATTCACCATGCGATTTTGTATTCAATGATGAGTATTGTATCTCAAATACATTAGGTTTTATGTTAAAATTAGCTGATGGTATTCGTAAGTCTGTAAAAAAAGAAAAGAATATTTGAATCTATATATAAAGCCAAAAGTACCCATGAACTTTTGAGAAAACTACAAGTCACACCCCCATAAACCATATACTTAAAATGTTCGTCATGACGAGAAACCTTGCGCAAAATTATCCATTATTTCATAAATTGCCCTATAAGGTCGTAATTACTTTCCAAAGGGAACTTTCCATTTACCTAATAATAAAAACGAGAGGTCGTCCAGTGGTCGAAACTCGACCAAAAATATGTAATGTACTCACTTATCTATTTTCACCCCACACTGTAAATAAAACATGTGATTGGAGTTTCCTCCATTTGTTTTGATTTTCTGTTTATATTTCGTTGTTATTTCGTAACCAGCATAGCAACGCATAAGATCCATGTTAATTTTTTCAAATTTTTAAACTCATTTGTTGTGCTTATCTTTGAGCCTATTTAAATTTATAAAGGGATTCTGCACACCTACAGGAAAATAGCTTTCCAACGGTATGCGTAGATTTTCCCTACGATGCACACGAGCTGAGAAAAAAGGTTTTAAAGAAACATGCTCGCCTATTAATATATAGATAGATACCTCAGCTGTTATTATTTGTTTGTATTACCATTACTGTATTCTGCTTTGTTTATTTCAGCTTAACTTAACCAATCAATAGTTTTATTAATACTTATGTAGTAAACAGGGTGGAGCCCGTGGGTAACAGCTAGTTTTTTTAAAGATCAGATTATTTCATGGGAATATGATATAAAATACACTTTATCACTAATAAGTCCAGATTAAGAGGTAATCAAAGAGGCTGGGCTGTTGCCAGTAAAATGTTCTTCTAGTACATACTTTAGTAATACAGGGTGACAAAAAAAATTTACGCATCTAAACTGCTGCTTTTACTTAACTTCTGTTTTAATGGAAATCACTCCACAATAATGTTCAGGAATGGTACATGCAAAGACAAATGAATATGTAATAAACAATGGTGGAAACATGTAGAATACTTAGTTTTAAGATAGAGTAGGTTTGTATAGCTAATAAATAATCTATATATTGATTACTAAAGGCGATTCTTTGCGTCAGAATTGTGGGTGACCGAGAAGACGTAGAACGGTGGGGGAGGGCTCAAATTAAGGGTCTCTATCTCGTGATGACGTGAAAATGAAATTGCCAAAATGTTAACAACACGAAGTAAGATATAACGTAAAATGTCTTCCGTAAGAATAGCATTGGAAGCCATACACAGCTGTTTTTGTTTACTTTAATATAAGTGATCGTGCTATATCGCCAAGCAAGGCAGCACTTACAAGCCAGTTCAATAAACACTTCAGTTGGTTTACTTCTTATTCTTAGCCAGTCAATGTACAGTATATTATATTAAAACCAGGTATAGAGTTATCTATAATTGAGACTTTTTGAAAATCAAAAACAAAACCAAAAATATTCGTGTCAGCTGTCCATTTTGATGGAAAGGAATTTTGTGATTTGCTTCGACAACTGGGAAATGGAACCCTAAAAACCATAAAATATTACTCAATGTGGCTTATGAGGCTGTTAATTTTGTACACTACTTATTTACTTCCCTTAAGTTTCATCACGATCGGATGGCCGTTTAGTAATGCATAAAGAACAATCATACGACAGCCAAACATTGGATTTCTATGTATATAGATACAGTAGAACCTCTTTAATCCGAACCCCTGTAATCCGAACGTCCACTAATCCAAACGCCTCATTACTGTACTCTATACACAGTACAGTAGTTCTTTATTGTACACTGTATTTATTTATGTACGCACCGTAATTATTTTGATTGTAATGTACAGTAGGTACTGATAATTCCCTACGTTTACTACTGTATCAAATAAACACTGTATTTTACTTTATAAAGCATTTTTCACTTTTCCCTACCTATTGTTATGTAAAAACAACAATATGTTCTGTAATCCAAACTATTCAATAGTCCGAACTACCCCCGGTCCCAATTAGTTCGGATTAAAGAGGTTCTACTGTAATAACAACCAAAGCAAACTGAGATTCTTTTTCACACAAAGAAGGGTGTACAGGCATATCCATCTTATTTATTTATTTATTTTTGAACATAACAACAAACAACATTGTTCAAAGGTTTATTGCGGACATTTTCCATCACGAAAGTAAAAAACAATACACAACGTTTCGGGATCTGGAATCTGATCCCGTCTTCAGGTGAAAAAACTTAACTAACACATTACAACTAACAATACACAAACGCCCAACCTAAGTTGGAATACACTACCGAGGGTAGTAGTCAAAAAATATGCACTGTATAGCAGTCAAGTCATGATACAACATGCAATTAATAACAAATCACAAAACACTATAATCTATAAAAGGTTTACGTACAAAAAACTCACACAATGGAACACTAACAACACCGTACGTTATGACTCCACCTGGTGGAGTCATAACGTACGGTGTTGTTAGTGTTCCATTGTGTGAGTTTTTTGTACGTAAACCTTTTATAGATTATAGTGTTTTGTGATTTGTTATTAATTGCATGTTGTATCATGACTTGACTGCTATACAGTGCATATTTTTTTACTACTACCCTCGGTAGTGTATTCCAACTTAGGTTGGGCGTTTGTGTATTGTTAGTTGTAATGTGTTAGTTAAGTTTTTTCACCTGAAGACGGGATCAGATTCCAGATCCCGAAACGTTGTGTATTGTTTTTTACTTTCGTGATGGAAAATGTCCGCAATAAACCTTTGAACAATATTAACTCACCATCACCAACAATGAACTTCAAACAAAGAACAAACAACATCTTGACAAATAAATAATTTGATTCTTAGTTTGATTAAATATTAGAATAAGTTGTTTCACATTTTGAGCTTTTTAGGGACTTACGTCCCTACATGCCACTAGTAATAATTAATTGCCGTGAAATGATGAGTACCTTGTTTTTGGACCACCCTGTATAACAATCAGTTCTCCTCAGTTGCCAGGAACTAAGTTCCTCAGTGTGTCAGAAACTAATTTACTTCATGTTTATCATAATGAAAGCCTCCTTAAAAATTGGTATGGCTCTAAGTTATATGCTGCCTTTATTATAATCTAAAGAAATAGTATTTTTGATAGAATTTTATTAAGAGCTGAAAAGCAAGTGCATGGATACTAATGAAAGTGGGAACATGTATTTGCAATTAATAGGCCAATGTATTGAAAAATAACTGTTTAATCCACCATTCTGAAGTTAAAAGAAACAGCAATAGCTAACTGGGATTAGACGATTGATAACTCTCATGAGTTGACAGAATCAGCACAAAAAAAGCATTCACACGAAACAAACTATTCCTTTAAAAGATGGTCCTGAAGTGTGATTGATTTATGGACACGTTTTTCAAAATACTAATACAAAATGTTGATCAGCTTTGTAGAGGAGGTGGAGACTGGGCTGATAGAGATCATCGCTCCTACAGCATCTTATTACCCTGACTGGAACAGCCTGAGGGTTACTCTTGGGGACTCCAAGGTAAGAAGCCTCTACTAGAAATGCTCACTAAAACTGTTAAAATTTTTTCAACAACTAAGTCAAGTTGAATTCTTTATCACCTCAAAATATCGTGAGGTTATTTTCTTCATCTATAAAACAGCTGATACTTTGTTGTACATACTAGTGATGTTGATACCAAAACTGATCGATTCTTGATACCTGACAAATCTGTTTTAGATACCGATACCATTTTTTTTTATTTGACGTAATCCACTTTATATATTCTTGTAAGTGGTTATACTACACCAACCTCTGTCTTTCTTTCCTTCCATAAGTTTTGGGGTAATTGGGTTTTTCCCAGGTAAAGACATAATGCAGGAATGAAAAGTTCAAGGTAGTCAATTAAAGTCCAACCCCTTTTTTAACACATTAAATAAATACCCTATCAAAGGTAAAAATAATGTTAAATCCGAGACTTCATTATCGTATCTCGCAGCACTGCTATCACTGCAAAATTCTGATCACCTCCCACGGTCGTGTATACATCATTATCATCTTCCGAGGTCGTCTAGACATCATCATCGTCTCCTGCAATTTGGAAAAATTCTGTTCTTTTCCTGTGGTTGTGTAGATGAGTTTCATTTTTTCTTTTTTAGTCGGAATATTGTGATCATCTTCTGCAGCCGTTTAGACATCATCACTGTACCGATCACGGTAACGTCTAAGTTGTTATGCGCAATCGCAGAAAAAGCAGAATCTCGTGATCTTTGCAGACTAGTCGGGTATGGACTTTATATGATCGATTCTCCACACCAATACCTATGTCCAAATATTGGTGGTATCGAGAATTGGTATAAAGAATCAACACATCCCTACCCATACTGATACTAATGTCTAAGTATCGGTAGTATCAAGAATAGACACACCTTATAAACAAACCAATTTGTAAACAATATTTCCTGATGGATTAGTTGATGAATTTGTTTCTATACACTATCACTGAATACTATTTAAGCGCACCAAAGTTTATGACTCTGATGATCATTACAGGAGAGGGTGAAGTGGAGATCCAAGCAGAACCTTGACTTTGCCTTCCTGATGATGTATGCCCAGCCCAAGGGTATGTTCTACATACAACTGGAGGATGATATTTTGGTCAAGCCACAGTTTGTTACTACAATGAAGACTATTGCTCTGGAGCGAATAGCCAACAAGCAACATTGGTTCGTCTTAGACTTCTGCCAGCTGGGTTTCATAGGTAACATGTTTTAAAACTACCTAATGGAGGCAACTTTTAATATGACCGTCCCAAAAGTGCGCCGCTCAGGCCATTCCAATAGACCGACGTCCCACATGTGTACCAGTGTCCCCTCATTTAAATACATTTCAGATCCTATCGGTCAATTTTTAAGCCATGATATTTTATATCGGTCTTTGGGGATATATGACTTATATATGGGACACTTGGTCTCTGGATTTGACAGTTGGTATATTCAGTACAACACCATATAGTTAGTACACCTGTTTTCATTTTATTGTATCTGCTCCCACGTGCTTATTCGAATCATAGCTGTACCATGTGTTTCTCAGTGCAGTTGATGTTATACTGTGTCTATGTTTGTTCTCAGCAGTTGTGTTTTAGTTGGTTTTTGCAACATTGGGTTTAATATAGGCAGCGCAAATAAGGGACAATCGGTCCATAGTAAAATTGTATTATACATTTTTGCTATAAATCGACGTCACACATATGCGCCGTTTAAAAAATTTGTCAAACTATTGGAAACAAAAGCAACAAGCAAGTAGAAGTAACAGTGTTACTGAATATAGAAACAGTGGAAGCTAGAATAATGCATATCACTTGGTTATAACAGGTTTCTATTTCTGGTCTGAGCTACTGAGCAATTTACTACCTCCAGTCTATCAATGAAGTTCAATATTAGGGTCGGTCTATTTTGATCACCCTACCAGCGCATGGTAGCGAACGTGCTAAGTAATACACTTCAACATGGCAATAAAGGATTCAAAATTATTCTGTTAATTGTTATACATAAACATTTTTACCTAGTACATTTTGAAATTAACGCTCAAACTTAATTTTTAGTTTAAATATTGTAAGGAGTCTTGTTATCACCTTCTTATGAAAAAACTTATCTCTCTGCCACCATAGACCTTAAATCCCATGAGATGATCCAAATATAATGAGGTATTGGTTTGTTATTTGTTTAATGGACCAGCTCATAGCTAGTCTTGACTACTGTAAAAATAAAAAGATAAGCCTCCGGTCTATCAATTATAAAGGTATGGAATTTTTACTCAAGACAACCTTAATCCTTAATTTGTTAAACTAGATGATGGGTTGGGCGATCGATTGTTTTTATGAATTTATTCAACTTCTAATAATCTTTCAGGTAAAATGTTTCGCTGTGTTGAACTGCCTTGGCTAATCCAGTTCTTCTTCATGTTCTACAATGACAAACCAGTGGATTGGCTGCTAGACCATGTCATCCACACAAAGGCTTGCAACTTAGAAAAAGACAATGTGAGGATTGATTTTATGTGATTGTGGGGTTTATCTTAGAATGTTAAAACAAATTGTCCATTCTAGCTAAGCTTAAGATGCTATCCCTAGTTGTTCTTAGAACATAAGTCGATGAACGAGAACATTGTTTTAGGTAAAAAAAAATAATTACTTTTTACAAGTCTGTGATTGCTAGCAACCATAACCTAAAAATGTTTTATAAAATTGTCAACATTTTGTTTACTGGTTTAATGGTTTTTAGCTGGCCAACAGTTTTTGTTAACGAAACAAAAATATTGTTAAAAGTTGCAGCCCAATAAGAGTATGAATTTTGGACAGTTACTCTACCATATCTTACATAGTTTAAAAGATATTCAAACACCCTAATTTAAATTTAACATTATATATCTTCAAACTTACTAATAACAAATCTGTTTGGTTGTTTTTTGTTTGTAGAAACAATGCAAGAAAGACAAAGAAGAACTTTGGATTCACTATAAACCCTCGTTGTTTCAACATATTGGTACTTACTCCTCTCTGAAGGGGAAGGTACAAAAGCTCAAGGTAAGATATCACTATTTTGTTTGTTTATGATTTACAGTGACAGTAGTATATTTGACTACTCTGATACTTTACCTGAGTTGACATTCCATTCTAAATATTAAAATCTGAAATTTTCCATTTGTAATGGTGTTGCTTGAAGAAAATGTAACTTAAATGCTACAAATACCCACAATATTTTTCTATCAACACCATTTGGAACTGTGTTATTATTACAACTAACCTGTTTTTTAATTAATATTTACAATATGTTTTGCAAGGTTACTTACGGTTACATGCTTCGATGAGCCTCCAGATATTGAAAAAGTTAGCTTGGTTATTGATCAAACTTATGTATCTGACTATTTTTGCAGCATTCAACATATGTAATAAAGGTAGTCCTGAATGAATTTACAATAGAATAGAGGTTAAAACAATGGCCTTTGAACCTTCATATAGTCATAAATTTCTACCTTTGTTTTGTTACTTAGATTATGTTACATAAGTAGTTAATGTTACATAAAAGATCCTACCTATAGCTTCCAACAAGTCAGCCTATCTGCTTGATTTGGCAAACAAGTTTGTATATTCATCAGAAATCAGTAATTTACATCATATTCTTCTGCCGGTAGCTTAATTCAACTTTCTCCATTTTGATTTTAAAACAGGTAACAGCGTAACAGGTAACACGTTCGCTGCGGTCGTGCGATGGCCAGACGCTGCCGTTGGCGGGAGCAGCCAATGCGCTGTGTAAATGAGTGTGCGAAAATGTTTAAATTTAGTTTCACCCAATAGGAAAAGCAATTGTAACATGTACTGCGTTGTAGTCGTTGTGGACGTAGTTACAATACAGATAGCAGCCCTAAGCAGCAGACTCTCAGTATTGCCAAATGGAGGGAAAAATCAGGGACAAAAAATCCGAATACACCTAAAAATTATTGCAAAACGGGGTCAAGAACAATTTTGTGGTTAGGTTCCTTTTACAATTCTTCACTGCAGTATTTATCATCATTTTTCCATTCCATTTCACTAAATCCAACCCAAAACCCCTGAACTGAATTTAGAACAATCCCTTCCACCGATAAGATAGTCGAATCTGAAAACAAATTATACTGGATTGAAGTATAAAACTGGTACAACAAGAGGCAATCAGAAACAGCTTGTGCGAGGCTGAGCTCACACTGAAGCAAGATTGTTGTTATGCAAGGAGGACAACATTTCCCGCCCCGCACCTGCAGTGCCGGTACAGCGGGACAAAAGTTCCCGCCCCTAGCACTGAATGTGTTTATGAGCATGGAATTTCTAGTTATATCAATAGTATAAGGTCAGAATAAGTTTGGTATTATTATAGTCTTTATAATTCTGGTAATCCGACACCCTCTTTTCAGAAGTATTTTAAGTAACGAAGGTGCCAGCAGTTGGTTGCATTGAGTTTTTGTTGTTGACAGGATAAGCAGTTTGGTAAGGTGAATCTGTTCACTCCACACAGCAACCCCGATGCGGAGGTGGCTACAGAGATCAAGGCATACAAGCAGTACACTCTCAAGCGAGCGTATGAGGGTGAGACGTTCTTCTGGGGCCTTCTACCACAGCCGGGCGACCACCTGGTCTTCTCTTTTAAGGCGCCGCTTTATATTAAAAAGTAAGTGGATTTGTCATAAACAAAGTCATGTTTGCCATAACAACAAAAATGTTTCAGATGATTTCAATAGTTACATGTTGATTGATAGCCCTTGTTGTGTTGTATATATGTTAGAATGGCCATGACAAGTCTACGAAGAAAGGATTTCCTAATATTTTTGACATCAGGGCTTGCTCTGGCTGAAATTCAACCCTGCAATGTGACTATTTTCCTCATGTGGGGAGAGAACTATGCAAGAATATCTATGCTAAAAAAAATAACATAATTATTTGGGGGTTTTTTATCATCAAACAAAATACTATGTGTTTAAATGTCTGCTGATGATGATTGTTCTGTGATGCTTTGAAAGGAATTGATTCATGGCGGTCTTATAGATTTATTTACATTCTCCAACCTATAGCCTACATAGGACATAGAGAATGTATTTTTTTGTCAACATTTCCAAGTTAGACTATTGGTAAAAAAATCCATTTTGGCCTTCAAAAAAGGACAATCACAAAAATGGCTCAATCAGTTTTAATCAAAGTTTTAAATGTTAGGGTCCAGTCAACAGTAAACAAAATGGTGCAAACCCCAATGCTGTAAAACAACAAAATAACAGGTTATTGTAGTTTTTGTGATTTTATCCATAACAACATATCATAGGTACTACCATAAATTACCTAAATTGTTCTTGACAAGCTAATAGGGGAAAGTATCTATCTGTATTGTTTATTTATCTTTCTCTTTACAATATAGTGTATATCACTAATCAACTTCTTTACGGTTGTACTGCACTTAACGAGTTAGAATGTCAAACACATGTTTTGTGACAAACTGTGTTTGCAGATATGTGTTCCGCAGCGGAAACGCTGAACATCCGTCTGACAAACTTTACAACACCACAGTAGAAGTGTCCCCGGTGAGGATGCCGGCAAACTACGACACTTACAACACTACTTCGGATGGTTACGTCATCATAGGTGAGCTAGGTTTATACATTTCTTACAGTTGAATACCTAATATCATCTGGAGAATCAGATGCTAAAAGAGACTACCAGCTTTGACTATTAATACAACTTCTGTATCCAATAGTCAATGCTACCAGTATAACCTTTATGAATAAACTTTCCTGTTCTTTATATACCATAATTCAATGTGAGGATTATCAGATAGCTGTAAAAAGACCACAGAATAAAGAGCTAACCAAGAAGTCTCACTGAGCCAGTAAACGTTGTGTTCAAATCAAATCTGCTAGTGTCTACACCAGAATCCAAGAGTGCCACTCTCGGTGTGATTTTTTTTTAGAGTACAAATCTCACCTGTATTTATCAGCTGATGGCAACAGTTTAATGACGTTAGTTCTCACTTCCCCACATTTACCATAGTCCACTAGCCATATCCAGCAAAACCAGCGCTCCTAGATTCTGGTGTAGCAGATATACAATTTTTGTCTCCTGCGATCACAGTGAAATGATGAACGTTTGTTGCAGTCGTGACGATATTGTGAACATCTCCCTTGATCGCAGAGGAATCGTGAACGGCTCTTATGGTTATGGATCAATAGTGGTTTTCGATTGCGTGATTTTTGGATACGCTTTTGTCAATTCCGAGAACAGAAGCTGAACTTGAAAATTAAACTCAAAACAGATTTTCTCTGTGAAATTGCTTCTTTTTTTTCTTTGAGGCCCCAAGCTTGGATGTTAAATAAATACAACCTTGCACAGTTTATGTTTTTAACATTGTATATTTGATTATCATTAAAATACTTTAGTGGTTCTTTTAAACAACAATATGTTTTATCTATTAATTAACAAGCTTGAATTTTAGGTATTGGTCGATCTAAATGCCATGGGACTGTTGTGAATATACTTGAAAGATGGAATATAATGTGTTTCAAAATTTATTAAAATACTTCCTAGCTAGATATAAATACAATCAACTAAATATTAAGTCATGTAATGTGATGTAAATTTTCAACAGGCAAGTTTGACAATTTGGGGGTTGCAGAGGGTATAGTTCCTAGGATTCTTGGGCCCATCAAACACCTGAGATTAACTGTTCATAGCGAAACAGAAAACTGGGCCATTCTCAGTGAGGTAAGTGTAATTAAAATTAGTGTTAAAAAACTGTTAAAAAACACCTTTTCGAAAAAGCACAAGTTGAAATGTCCTTTAAAAGCCTGAATTTTTGTGTCCCGGACATTCCAAACACATTAAAACCTAAGCCCAAGTATAGCTCAGGGTATTAGTTCCGCTGAATCTTACTTGCGAGCGCTAGTGTGCTTAAAGCCTTACTTGTCGTGTTCAGCCAACGGTGGCATGGTCACTCAGTTGCCTAATGCGTTGCACTGAAGATTGCAACATTGAGGTCTTTGTACATGCACGGGTTCGAATACTGTACATGTGCAATCCAAAGCTTAGTAATTTGTGACTTGGCTGGAGTGGAGGGCTCACCTTATATACACAGTGTCCATCTTGGGTGGAAGTGGACAGCATTATTGAGTCAGAGCCCAATGATGATATGAAGATAAAAATAAGGCAGATGCTGGATTTTTCTATGCTGTTAGACCATGTTGAGATGTGTATTTCCCAAAAGTCCCCACTTTTCCCCCTTGTGCTTTCATCACACCCCCCCTTTTTAGATAAATATACAGTCTCTTAGAAAATTAGCTGCAACTTAAAAACAGGTAAGAATAACACTACAATCTTTTGTTAATCAATCTCGCAATTAGATTTTCTACAAACAATGTCCTTACCATGTCAGATTGTGTAGCACTAAGACAGATTGTGGTGAGTGTGATAAAGTTTCAAAACTCTTTTGGTAGACGTTTCTACTGTATTTGATGGACGTTTTACAACTTATCGCTGTTGTTTGTAGATATCCATCACCCCAGATCTTGGCAGATGACACCACATGACTGGCTACAGACGCCCTCACTCCTGATGTGCCATCTTGACAACAACCATCTCAACGGCTTTTCAACTTAATAACTAAGGGTCTGCGGGTCCCTGATATTTTTGGGTAGGGCCAAAAGTTAGCCCAAGAAGTTGGTTGGGGCGGGTCAAGCTTTGGTCGAGTTAAGCACTTCTTTTTGTGAAAGCATCTTCGAAGATGCGCGATAGAAAATTTACAATTTCTCTGTGATTTTGGAAGATGTTCACAATTTCTCATTGATTGTAGAAGATGATGTTCATGATGTGGTTTGACCCCATAAGATTGTCACAACTTTGTCAGGTACAGAGAAAATATTGACGATTGATGATATAGGGAATAACAAGTTCAATATTTTATAAGCCAAATGAAGCACTACAAATAATTAACTAATGTTTAAAAAAAATTAAAAAAGAGCTATACTAAAACCAAAGTTTTTCTTTGGCTAAAAATGAAAGCTAGTAAAATAGTTAAATTCAACTCACTCTCATTATTTTTTTTTATATTTTATTGTGAATTTTCTATACTGGGAATAAGCTATTTGTTCTTCACAATTGATCCCCTTAACCCGAGAGCCAAAATTGTCAAACCGACCCGACCCAAAGTAAAAAGTCCTGGCCCGCAGACCCCTATTGAAAATGTGATTAATATAATAATTTAAGAATCGTAACTGAAATTTTATATTTTTACTACGCTGCTAAGCAGCAATGTCAGACGGAGCCGAACGTGCCACGCTTCTTGTATAAAATGTCGTTATAAGCTGCTAGTCTGATATAGCCATAGTTTAGTGTTGAACTCCGGTAGTATTTTAGTTTGTGCACATGAAAAAAAGGCTGTGATGTACATATATTATTTAATTATGTTAAGCATTTAGGTTAGGTTTTATTTTATTGATTAAGCCTTTTAATGATATTAATATTAATATATTTCAAACGTTTTATGTATTGTGATATAATTTTTCAGAATGTTTAGCCTAAGTTTACTTTGAGTTCTGTGAGATATTTGGTTACCATTTGAAACATCACTTGTTATTTAATAACGGTGTATCATAGATACTTAGTCTAATATTTTACAATAATAATATTTATATACACTAATTCAATATAGTCTCTATTCAAGGTTTATTATTTAAATTAATGTCATTTATCTATTAATTTAACAAAAAAAAATTATAATTCTGCAAAAAATATATTTTTGAAATATCTTAAAGTAGTGCAGAACTTAGGAATTTCCTTTGAGTTCAAAATAAACTTTTATATACTAAAAGTAGATCATCATGTTGACCATTATGACTATTCTATAAGATAATAAGATTTACAAAAAGCGTATGTATAAAAAACTGATGTCCACAATAATTGAAGTGGACTTATCAGTCTAAATTTTATAATATTATATCTTACAATCAGTCCCTTTGTTGTACATCTTTGGCTATTATCAATATAACAGCACCTAAATATTTTATATTTTGATTCCTATACAAAAAATCATTATTGTTGAATCTTTTAAGTTTTATCATAAATCTTAAAAAAGGGACTTTTTGTGAACGCCATGTTATATAATTATAAGCATATTTATACATAATCAGTATTCATCGATCAAGTATTATTTTATAGCTACATAGTAATAAGAGCCTCAATTTTACATCATGATTAGCTTAGCATTGCATATTGTTGTTTTTTTTTTAACAAATATTAAAGAACTAATTAATTCTTCTTATTTAATTGTTATGTTATTAGTATGAAAACAGCTATCAATAGTTTGTGAATATAGAATAAAGAAATAAATACACGCCTCTCATAAGATATAGATTCATTGTATGACAATGCAAAATAGGGATATTCCAACTTACTCATTATTATATGGTCAGATTTCTAATAATATGATAACAAAAATAGCAAATTAAGTTAAACGAACAAAACATGTAATGGATAGGCTTAATAACGCTTGTTTTATGTTTTGTTTTAACTCTCAAAATATATTTAAACGGTTAGTAATCTATTTGTTCCTCACAATGTATCGTTTATTGTTTTTAATATATTTTAACTCATGTCCTTAATTATGTACTTATCTATACCTAAACAACTAGTATTGTACTTAAAAATTAAGAGCTTTCAGATAGTTTATACTAAGTTTTAAGATGTATCTGCAACCTTTAATATTTTTTTTCTCTAACTATTTACCTTTTAAATTTGATTCTATACCACTACCACAAAAATTCTACCTGTATGTTTTGATATTAATCGTTATAGATAACTATGGCTAAACCTATATTAGTGCTTTGATTCATGTAAATGTTGAATAACCCAAAATAGTTTAAAATGTAATTTTATAGAAATAATTACAATGTCTAAGGTTGGTTTTATGCATAACATTCTGAGATAAACGCCATCCACTCTTCGTTCTATTCAGTTAAAAATGAGCTTTCATGCACCTTTGTGACAATTCCTTACTTAATATGTAAAAACATAAATTTTATTCAATTTTACATGACAAGTTTTAATTGTGATTGTGACAGTTTTTTAAAGAATCAATTGACACCCACAATGTATTAATACATTGATGATGTGGTTGCATAAAAATGACCTGATGTAGTTCTAAGGAATGGAACTAGTTGTCATACCAAGAACTGTGGTCATAATGAATAATATAAAACATTTAATTGAAAAGCAGCCTCCAAGTCTGTAACTTGTTCCCTAAAATAGAGTTAAATTTTCGTGTTTATCTTTTATGTCTAACCTCCCATGTTCGAGCACAACCATAACATTTGTACTTAAAAAAAAATAGTATCTATTTTCCAAACCCTGGTCTTGTTACAACTCTCACTCACCACCAAATAAAAAAGTGGTTGCAAAAGACATTTTACAATTTTACATGTGCAAATTCCTTCTAGTTTTGCTCCTCAGGACCTGCTACGTGGGACGCCTTTCATAAAACCAGTGTATCAATGTTCTGAAGTATACATCTTACTAAAATAAATAGAAGCTTTTCAAAGTAGTATGTTTTAGAGGGCGAGTCCTGCATAGACAAACGAGACTATAGCTCCAAACTTAAAGGTACAAATCCCACCAAAAGTAAATATTTCTACAACTTGCTGATTCAAAACCTATATTGGGTTCCACCTTCGTAAAGAAAAACATGGTAAATCTTGTCAGGGGAAAAAAATCTGAATTAAGTAAAAAATCCCTTCCACAAACAACATTAGAAAATTGTTATTTAATATCATCCAATTTTCTACTTGTTCTGATTGCTAAAAGTTGTCAACTATTGTTATTATTGTTAATTTACTTTTATCAACAAAGGGGTAATGCCAGAGTAATTTAATAACACTTTTCAACAGGAGAAAACACTAGTCTTGTTTTTTAAACGCTAATCTGTTGATTGATTTAAAACATAAATTATTGGCCCTCAAACGACATATAGAAACTTGAATTTTGCAATTGTAAAATCAAGCTTTTTTAGAATGAAGTTGTAACCAACTAACAGCTATATGATTAAGTTGCTCACTAAAACTACTAGAGCACCCATGTGCCCAATGCAGTGAAGTTCACATAATATGACAATAGTATTACAAAATTAACAGAAAAATCAGATCTCTAATATCCATAAGAATTATGTTTGTAGTTAACTTTACTAGCTTTAGCATTTAAACTACAGAAGCATTAAGATGAACAACTAACTGTACAAATAAGGTTTTCTTTATTTTTTCTGAACAAAATTAAATTATAGTAACTTATAAAACAACCTACTGTGGAGTCAGGAGAACATCCATTGGCTAGCATCTATGTGAAGGGTAGCATCTCCTGACTAACGGTACTGACTACTTTTTCATTGTTTATTTATTTTATAATGATGTATGATTAATATTTAAAGTGTAGTAATACATTAAGATTAAACATATTAAAAATAATATCATATACATACATATTGTAAGCAAGTATTGTATCGGTGGCCATGAAAAATCAAATAAATTAATGTTGTGTAGTGTTACCTAATAACAAAATATGTGTTGACTTCGTGTCCCGAATGTTTCATACTTTGTACGATAATTGTAAAATATTTATACAGATTTGACGGTTTATTTTGTGTAAATTTCTTGTTTGGATTTTGTGTTAATAAAAGTTTAAGTTATATTTCATGGTTTTCTTCGTCCATATTTTAGCGTTACCATGCAGGGACTTAAAGATTTAGACCCTGATAAGTTCTTTTCATTTATGAGATTTCATCATTAAAATAACCAATTTAATTAAGCAACCCAGGTCCAATCGAGGGATTAACGATATTCTAAGAAAACTTAAACCATATATAACAACTGTTGATTTATTTGTAAAAAAAGGATGTCAACTAACTAAAGAAAAATTGGGAAAAACCTAAAAGGAATTAATATCTATGTTTCTAGCCCTTGAGCTGTTGGACATAATGCAAGGCTAAATTACTTTTGTAATTCCTGTCACATCTCATCAATGGGAATTGAGTTGTTATTGAACTGTGACGGGAATTAAGTAAGTAATTTAGTCTTACACTAAAAGAAATATCTAGAACTGAAGTTTAAGTAGAGACAAGCAAGGTACTCTTGACCTTAAAACAGGAAAATTTGGTATAATATGTAGGCTATAATTTCCCACATTCAATGTGTAGAAACATAAATAAATATACAATATTTTGTTAACAATTTTTTATTCTTAACAATATATTATTCTTACCAATTATTTAAATAGATTCACATAATTATATTTACACTCATTATCTACAGCTATGCTCTGATTGAATCGTTAAAGTCATGGCCCAATGTATGAAGAAGAAACAGTTCACAATTTTGAGAATTGGGAATCCTTCGGGATATAATTTAGTTAAGAAGTTTCTTTATGAAATACTATACCAGATAGTTCAGCACAATTTTCCACGTTCATTTTTTCCCAGTGCGGCCAATACTGGATATGTTTCATTACATTCTTTCCAGGACTGTATGGAAACGCTGTGTGTCGTTGACAATGACCGTACAACTGATAATCTTTTTTCAACTTGGACCTAGCGACTGCAAACTCAAGTAATGTTTTTGCAGAGTTCAGCATCATTTCGCTGGGTTCATCTCTTCGGAAGTTCCCAATGAATGCAACTCCTAAACTACCTGTATTACTCCATTTAGTGTGTGCTCCTATTTTGTCCCAACCTCGACCTACGAAGATATGTCCATCACTTCCGATCACAAAGTTGTACATGATGTCTTCGTAAGTATCAGGACCACAGTCTTTTTTACCAATGTCTTGAAGTTCCAACATAATATTCCTGCAGGATGCAAAGTTATTGCAGGTTCCCCCACCAGCCGTGTGGATGAAGATAACTCGTTCTACGGGGACCGTGTTGTTCGACAATTCTACACATGGAGGGGCGGCTCCCCATTTCTCTCTTGTGACGAATCTTTTATCCAACGGGTAGTCCTCTGAAATCATTTGCACGTATTTTGACAGTATTTATAAATTCAATTTGTCCAATAGTTTTTATGTGATTTACCATATGTGACATACTCACAAATACCCCTACTTTCACATTTGTAGTTAAATTGAGATGGTGATGCAACTGGTATTTTAACATGCATATGAATGAAGGTTTTGTATCATGGAGTGAGGTGAACTAACAAATTAATACATTCATAGATGCAGAATATAGATAATTTACTAAAATTGGTCACATTGCAAGTGTCTACTTACAAAAATGACCCAGGTACACTGAAATTTAAAGTGAAATCAGACTTGAGAGGACTTGGACACAGGCAGAAAGTTCTAAGAAAGTTCAGAAAGTGACAGACATAAAGAAAAAACATTTTCTTGGCACACTGGCTCAGCTCTTAGTACAATAATCATTTTAAAAGACTGAATGTACTGAAAGGTATTTAAAACCAACATGGAACGTTTCACACATTCAGATGAACCTATCAAACCAAAGGGTTGACATTTTGTACATTGCTCATACAAGATGCAAACATTTTGTTGGCCAAATTCTACCTTCAACCAAAATGTGGATGCTATAGTTGTAATAGAATGGCAGAGAAAGAGGCAAGAAACCAAAACAAACCCGGTGGTGAGATATACTACAAGCCCAGAAATTATTCAAATAACAAAAATGGATTTTTGGCAAATTTTGTTATGGGAAATCAACCTCCTTTATAAAGTAACAATGTATAATCCGGGATTTGGAGGTGTTATTTTGTGTAACCGTTAAAACAAGAAGTTATCTTAATAATTTCAGAGGGAAGAATTTTTGTGTTGTGTATTTGACTACCACATGTGTTAAGTCACCTATTAGTGCAAAAATAGCTTATGTTTGATTTATGTTTACATTACATTATGAGGTTGCTCATAGCCTCCTCTAACACGAGTTGGTGTGTGGCAACGTCATGCATATTGCCATGGTAAGTTAATTACAGAAATAACAAAAGTTTAAACATAAACATTTCCTATACTGTCCATTATATATTAGTGCAACAGCTGTTTCGGTTTGGTGGGTCAACGGTGTTGCCACTTTTGTCTCTGGCCTTGTATTAGAGGAGACTATGATTTGGTTCATGTTAACTAGTGTACATTATTACTTGCAAATACAGTACAGCAGTAAATAGATGTAAACGTGTTGTCAGATAACTGTAACCTGTTGTAACCTGTAGTAATCATCAATAGTCAAACGTCAAATCCTGGTTTATTAACGATATCCTTCTCAGGATCAAACAAGTACAGTACTATTTTAATTTAGGGTGAATAATACAGGGAGCGGCAAAATGATCTGACGGGTTTCTTTGCTGCCCTGTCGAGCGAGTGAGTGGCAGAGGGTGGTGGGAATACGGGTGTTCCAAAGCCTACGTGTGGACATTTTTAGTAGCAATGGAGATGTGGACAGCTGAGCACCATGCATTTGTAGTGGAAGTGTTTTTTAAAAGTGGCAATTCCTGTGTAGCTGTTCAGCAGTAGTTATGTAGACGTTTCAATGTGGGTCCAAGAGGAAAAATCCCAACTCCAAACACCATTTTGCTGTGGGTGGGTAACTTCAGAGCTACTAGTTCAGCATTGAAAAAAGTCAACCGTCCAAGGTCAGCCTGGACGCCACAGAACGTCAGAGAGTGAGAGAATCTGTGAAAGCTAGTCCTTAGCGGCCTGCACGTGAATAAGCTGCAGCTCTGCACAGTGCATATGTCTGGCCACTCGGTAGAAGAGTATTACGATATGACCTGAGTATTACGATATGACCTGAACTTTCATTCATACAAAATGACAGTCAGGTACAGTTGAAGCCCAGTCGTTATGGAAAGCGCATCTCATTTCAGAACAATTAATTGATTTGCTTTCACGTCACCAAATTGTCATTATGAGCGAGGAATCCCACTTTCAACCACACCACACAGTCCTCACTCTCTTGACGTTTTCTGGCGTCCGGGCTGACCTTAGATGGCCTGTTGATTTTAGTTTCAATGCTGAAATAGTGGCTCTAAACCCACCCACAGTTTCGAATTAGGACTTTCTTCTTAGACCCACATTGAAACGTCTACTGAACACAGGAATTGCCACTTTTAAAAACACTTCCACTACAAATACATGTTGCTCAGTCGTCCACAGCTCCATGGCTAAAATGTCTGATTTAGTTGAAGTTGATATTTGGTCATAATATTTTGTTTTATTTAAGGGGAGGTATTGGTACATTTCCCATCAAAACCACTCACTAGGTCACCTGAATGGCGGTTCATCTTCAGACTAGGCACAAACATAATGAAAAACTTAAGACATTGCAGCCAAGGTGAAGGTGGTAGGAGGTTCAGGCGTTATTGTGAACAAGCAGAAAATCAGTAACTCTACCTCAGCACAGAAAACGTACCACTATAACCCAGAATGCCAACCGCATGGTAAAAAGCATTAAGCGGTTTGAGAGAGCTTTGCCTGTCCCGTAGGCAGCGCCACCAGCGTTGCCATGCAATAGCATATAGCAACGCTGGTGGCGCTGCCTACGGATTGACAGGCAAAGCTCTCTCAAACCGCTTAATGCTTTTTACCATGCGGTTGGCATTCTGGGTTATAGTAGTACTTTTTCTGTGACCTCAGTCAGCACAGAGAAGTACAATCGACTGAGTCGGTCGTCAGTTTTTAGCCGTGCACGTCCCTTAATGTTTTCGTGTCGTGTCCGTGTTTTGTGTTGTATGTACTATTTATTAACCTTTGACGCAATGAAAATGAAGAAACCACGTAAAAAATGTAAATATGTAAATAGTTCAGATTAGTGTATGGTGACTACGCACCCGACGATGGAGTTATCTCCGAAACGGCCGTAGTGCTCAATTTACAGGATTGCGAAGACTGTACCCAAGTAGCAAAAATCGTTGGCAAATCGTTGGCCCAACGTCTCTGTCGATCGTTGGCCAACGGTATGTTTTGGCACTCAGTCTTACGGTTGGCCAACCAACCAATTTTTGCGGAAGGGCCAACCATCCCATTGGGCATAAACATAAAAAACACAAAATAATAAAGATTTTGTATGCAAAGCATAATTATGAGTTGAGTAAATTGATTAAATAGTTAATAAAAACTTATTTGAAAATAAAACGAAATAAAATGTTTTGGCCGGGACGGGTCTCAAGCCCGGTACCTTCGACATGTGAGCCTCACGCCTTACCTCTGAGCTAACTGTGCTCGTTGATTAAGAGTGTTTTCAAGTGGCGAAAGAGTAGCCGAGAGGTGCAATGGTCACAATTAATACTTTAAATATTTTTTATGCTACAGTATAATATGATTCTGTTAATCTGTTTAGGCCTCAAGTAGTTGAATTGTTTTTCTGGTAGTTGGAGAGGATAGTATTTGAATATAGATTATTTAATTACCATTAAATTAGTAGGCTACTATTAGCGAATTTCCCATAAGGAATAAGCCCCGCCGCAGCAAACCTGCAGACTAAGCGAATTTCCATTTGACTGATTTGATTTACACTGAAATGTCTACTTAAAAATATAACATTTATTCTCGATTTAAATAGAATTAGTTTAACAAGTACTTAGGTTTGCTGCATCAGGGAGGGTAAAACTGTTTTTTTGTAAAATGTCAATAGTTAGTAAGAAATAAAAACGTTTTCCAAATTTGATCAAAATATGTTCATAAACAAGCAAACTTCAACAGTTTACTTATTCTCCATAATAATAACATGGGAATTTTAAATTTACAATTTTTTTGAATTTTCTCCGTAACCATTAGGCGCATAATAACGCTTCAATATACTAAATTATTTGTTTTTTTAAGCTCTACAAAATGGTTTGGAAAGAAATTGTTAAATTTTATGTTTTTTTTGGTCAAAAATGGGAAAAACCTATTTTTACCCCATAAAACCCCCCGTAAACCCCCGTTCCCATTGTCCGATCATGCTGGATCGCGAACTCGTTCGAATAAACGTAGGTTTACACGTTTGTACCAAATTTCATCAAAATCGGATCATTTTTGCTCGAGTTATCGTGCTAACGGACACACACACACACATATATATATATATATAAATATATATATAAATATATATACAAATATATATATAAATATATATATAAATATATATATAAATATATATATATAAATATATATATATATATATCGATGATGGGGCTGATTGCCTCGGCTTGTGATGAGTCAATGCCCCGCAAGAGACTCCGTTGCGATAGGAGACCCGTATACTGGTGGACTGCAGAGATTGCGGATTTGCGCCGAGCTGCTTTGAGAGCTAGACGACTCGCTACCAGGGCCAGGGTACCCTTGGATAGACGCCGTAAGCTGGAGAGCTACAAGGTGGCGAGGAAGTCTCTCCGCCGGGCCATCAACCGGAGCAAACACAATTGCTGGAAAACACTAAGGAATGATGTCGATTCCGACCCGTGGGGCCTGGGTTACAAACTAGTAACCCAAAAACTCACCACTCGCTCTCCACCTTCCGTCATGGAGGGGGCCGCTATGGAGAGGGTCGTCAAATCCCTTTTTCCGGATCATATTCTGCGCCCACTGCGTGAGTTTGAGATGATGGACGATGTCCCACTCTTCACTCATGAGGAGCTGGAGACTGCCGTTTTATCCCTAAAAAACAACAAGGCTCCTGGACCTGATTGGGTACCTGGCGAGGCTCTTAAGAAGGTTTTTTCAATCAATCCCCTGATTCTTCTGAGCATGTACAACGCCTGCCTAGCAGAGGGGGTATTTCCGTTGTGCTGGAAAAAAGCTAGGCTCGTGCTCGTAGGGAAGGGGAAAGGAGACCCAGAATTGCCGTCCTCTTACAGACCCCTTTGCATGTTGGATACGGCTGGGAAAGTCCTAGAGAAGTTGATCCGTTCCCGACTGAATTCAGCCGTGGTTGCTGCGGGGGACCTGAGCCCTCGCCAATACGGCTTCAGGAAGGGGCGATCAACGGTCGACGCTATTGAGGAGGTGAAGCAAGCCGTGATGAGAGCTGAGGATTTTAATCACTACTCTCGTAGGGTTGTGCTGCTCGTTACACTCGATGTGCGAAACGCATTTAATTCTGCAAGATGGTGCGATATGCTGGACGCTCTGGAGAACAACTTCCACGTCCCGGCATACCTCATGCGCATTATAGAGGATTACCTCCGGTTCCGCCTCCTCATGTATGATACTACAGAAGGCCCGCGGACGATGAGTGTCACTTCTGGTGCTGCCCAAGGTTCCATACTCGGCCCGGACCTCTGGAACGTTGCCTATGACAGCCTCCTTAGGTCTGAAATGCCTGATGAAACCGTTTTAGTTGGGTACGCAGATGACATTGCAGCTTTAATAGCTGCTCGTAGTGTTGAGCTGGCCCAGCTAAAATTAAACCGAGTCATGCGAACTATAAACGCATGGATGGCAGATCACGGTCTCTCACTCGCGCTGAACAAAACTGAGATCGTGATTCTGACCAAAAAGCAGATTGACACCATTGTGCCGTTGAGGGTGGGGGACGTCGAAGTCCAGTCCGTTCGTGCCGCCAAGTATCTTGGTGTCATGGTGGACTCTAAGCTTAGCTGGCGGGACCAGATATTCCGAACGGCGGACAAGGCCGCTAAGGTGATCTCTTCTCTTAGCCGGTTAATGGCCAATGTCGGAGGTCCTCGTTCCAGTCGCAGAAGGCTGTTGATGTCTACAGTTCAGTCTGTGCTCCTGTATGGTGCGGAGGTGTGGGCAGACGCGCTCAATAAGGAGGTGTATAGGATGCGGCTTGCCAGAGTGCAGCGTCAGGCAGCACTCAGGGTAGCATCCGCCTACCGAACAGTGTCTGAACCTGCCATCTTGGTGGTTGCTGGAGTAATCCCCGTCAAACTTTTGGCGGCGGAGAGGAAAGCGATTTATCAGCGGCGTGGAGAGGACCATGCAAAAATGGAGGAGCGCAACCGCACCTACCAGCTCTGGCAGGAGAGCTGGGAACAGGAGTCGCGGGGACGCTGGACCAGGAGACTGATTCAGCAAGTCCAACCATGGGTTGACCGACGGTATGGTGAGGTGGACTATTACCTTACCCAGTTTCTGACAGGTCACGGGTTTTTTCGGTCGTACCTGTTCAGGATGGGCAAAGCCGTGTCACCCGATTGCATCTTCTGCCCAGGCACTCCCGACGACGCGGAGCACACCTTCTTCCGCTGCCAGCGTTGGGAAGGTTCCCGCCTGGAGGCTGAACAACATGTAGGGCAGTTGTTGGTGGACACAGTCATTCCGATGATGATGGAGGGTGAGGACAATTGGACCTGTATGTCACATTTCGTCCAGGATATTCTCCGCACAAAGAAGCTAGAGCTTGACCGAGATGCGGTCTAGGTCATAAAGAAATTGAATGCCAGAAATGGCGCGAGCCCTGAGGGCTTAGGTCACACGTTGACCTGACCTGAAGTAATGTGACAAACAATCCCAGGTCTGTGTCCAACAGAGTAGAGGGGGTTTTTTAGTGAGTAGTCTGACAAGCTCAGGAGTCTCACACTACAGGCTGGCTACCTGTGTGCGTAAAAGCATTTTTACCTCCTCTCCCTTATAAAAAAAAAAAAAAAAATATATATATATATACTAGCTGACCCGGCAAACTTCGTATCGCCTAAGTTATAGGTTTCCCCTAAGACAGACCGATGGAAAGAAAGTACCGTTACGTTTAATTTTCAAGATGATCTCGTTCGCATCGCTCAATCACGTCCTGGTTGAAGTTCGTTTGCTACGCTCACTCACCTTTGGGTTAGAGCTCGTTCGCTACGCTCACTCACCTTTAGGTTGGAGCTCGTTCGCTGCGCTCACTTGCCTTCAGGTTAGCTCGTTCGCTACGCTAACTCGCCTCCAGGTTGAAGTTCGTTCGCTACGCTCACTCACCTTTTGGTTGCAAATTAGCTGTTGTCATAAATGTAAAAGAAATAATAGTGCTGCACCCTGTTGGTAATCCTTGTAACTTTAATGCTATTGAACATCATAGAACAGAACCAACTTGTTTAATTGAAACAGCTGTTAAGATTCATTAATTCCATTTCTCATAAGGTTAACATGGGAAACTCCAGAGCCACTGGGGCGGAGCCCTTTTAAGAATTTCGAAACGGGAAATAGTTTACGTCCGATTCGCATACCTACAGAATTTACACACCAAATTTCATAACGATCGGTGAAGTCGTTCCGGAGGAGTTTGCAGACAAACACTGTGACACGAGAATTTTATATATTAGAGATATATATATATATATATATATATGAATTTGAACGGATGGTGTTTTTGTCCTCTAGGGACCTCAAAACGAAAAAAAATCGGTCCCGCGTCCAGGTCTTACCATGAGTACTATTACCGTAGTACAATTAATACTTTAAATATTTTTTATGCTACAGTATAATATGATTCTGTTAATCTGTTTAGGCCTCAAGTAGTTAAATTGTTTTTCTGGTAGTTGGAGAGGATAATAGTATTTGAATATAGATTATTTAATTACCATTAAATTAGTAGGCTACTATTATAATTGATTGTTATATAATTATTTAATCTTTTCTCTATAACTATTAAAAACTTGCTTAAATAAGTTTAAGAATATTAAAATAAATAATTATAATAATTATTATATGTTAAGCAGGTGTTCCCCACTGTATCTAGTATCACAACATCATCTGATTACATTCATTAATTGATCCAAATTTTTACAATATTTTTCTTATATTCTGCTGCCATACCATTTATGTAATTTTAAATAAATCAATTTGTAAAAATTCGTTTTAGAATGTTTTATACTGAAACCCAACGAATGCCCAACGATTCTTTCCTTTGTAGGGCCAACGAATACCAGTTTCCGTTGGGCCAACGTTGGCAAATCGTTAACATTTCTGCCAACCATTTCCCAACCGTGCCGACCATTTCCCAACGTTGGGCCAACGATGTGTGCTACTTGGGTAAGTAACCTTTATATATATGATAAATCTTCTTCAAAATTACATGTAGAGCATTGCCATGTAGCAATTTACCATGTAGAGCAAATTCATCCCAGCACCAAAATACTAACCAAGACGGGGGCGTGTTAAAATTTACAAGTAAAAAACATGGTATTATAAAATCTAATGGATTAAAATACAGTTTTTATAGACATGAAAAAAATATTGTAACTTACCGCTATTTTCAGGTGGAAAGACAGGTCTACTAGGTTCTTTTTGTATAATTAGAAATATTGTGGAGATGATTATTAAAATGATGAAAAGGAAGGATGTTCCATAGATTATTAATCCAATCCTATTAGAAATTGTCATACCTGCAAACATTAACTGATCTTAGACCATAGAAAATTTAACAAAGTATAGCTTAGTATACCATAAAATATTTCAAGATATTAGGAATAAAGCTAAGGATCAAATCCAGTGCTGTAAACTTTTGTCCCTGGAGAAAAAAAAAATCCCAGTCTTTACAGAGAGTAGCTACCTATTTTCAATGCCAGCTGATATAAAAGAAAGTAATTGTTTCCCAAGCTCTAATTTAGAGCAAGGGAAGCCGATCAGCAGATTTTCCCTTGCTCTTAATCAGTTCTTAATTAGTGGTTTTTTCCATTTATCTTTATAAATTTAAAGCAGCTGTTTTTGCAGTGCAACAATACAAATGTAAACACATATTGCATGGCCGGGCCTGACAAAACAGCTGTTACACTAATCATAATGGAGAGTCTGCGCAATGTTTGTTTACGTTTGTTATTACTGTTATTATCATGACAATAGGGGCAGGTGCGACGTCACCACACACCAAACCCGCGGCCTTGTATTACAGGAGCAGGAGGTTATGGAAATACTAATGTAGGCATATTATTATTATTATTATTATGCTTATTAAGCTAGTTTTAATCTGATTTAGCTTGAAGTGTGTGTTTACTTAACAATAAACATAATGTTGAACTTCTAATGTTGATGTTGTTATGTTGGTTTGCTATACAGGGTGGTAATAAAGTCCGAAGACAGTTAAATAAAAAAAAATGTAGATAGAGCTACAATACTTGGTACAAAGTTACAGAGCATAAAATTTTATCTTAACACATATATTCAGTGATCCAATAACTCTTCAGGGGGACGGCCCACAAGAAGTCGGAAGAAAATCTTATATGAAAGCGTAGGTCAATATGCACATCAAATTAAAGGTCTTTTTTAGTAAAATACAATGCCGCAAACCGCACTTCAAAAGGTTGATCCTGCGTAAAATGGCAACCGTTCAAAGATTTCTTGAATCTGCCATTTTGAATCTTTGAACGACTGCCATTTTTTACTCAGGCGTTCTTTTGAGCTTGAGTTTACGGCATTGTAATCTACTAGTGAAGACATTTAATTTGATGTGCATATCGACCTATGACTACTTTAACAATTTTCTTCCGATTCCTAGGGCTGTGCCCCCTGAGGAGTAAGCGTATAATGGCAATGCAAATTAAATGAATCTTTGAACAACTGTCATTCTTGGCTCGGTTGTCCGTTTGAGTTCAAATTTGCGGCATTATATTCTGCTAGTAAAGAACTTTAATTTGATGTACATGTCAACCTATGCTTCTTTTTAAGATTTCCTTCTGACTCCTTGCGGGACGTCCCCATGATATGACAGAAAATTGATATTTCCTAAAAATATTAGATTTTTAAGTGTGGTGTTGATGTACCAAATCTTATTGATTTATCTGTTGTCGTTTAGAAAATATTTAACTGTCTTCGGACTTTATTACCACCCTGTACATTATTGTTTTTTTGTAAATTGGAAAAAATAATATTTTAAATTTTTGTCTGTTATTCTGCTTGAGAGTACTTTTGCGTCACGATAAAAAATATTGGTGATATGTAATCGTGATTTTGTGGCACTTGCTCAAGTTAGTCCCGCCCTCGGTTCCGGCTTACATGTGAAACTACTATTATACTTCAGTGTCTTGTGTCAAAAAATTGTGGCGTTTTAGTCAAGTACAATATTATATTGCCTTTGACAGAATATAAACCATCAAAATAATGTAAAAAAGACGAAATTATGTATATAGACAAGTTAAACACCACTTGCAAGAAAGTACAAAGAAAATCACGTTATGAAATTACAATCGAAATGTAATTGAGAAGATATGGCACAGTTCAAACATAGCAAAACACAAAAACTACAGAGTTTGTACAAACAAAATCAAAAAGAAAAATACATTTTTACAATACAAAGGACAAACACTGTAGATACAAAGCTCTTGAAAAAAATACAAAGCAAAAACAAAATATTATTTTACTTCAATGTATGCAACTAAAAGGCTACAAAAAGGAAAATCTTCAAAACAATTTGACTACAAGAGTTAGCTCTGTTTTAAACAGCAGTGAATCATTGTGTAATGCAATATTATAGGGCAAGAGATACGTTCTTTGCACTTTCATTACTAGAGTAAAATTGGAGAAGACTTACATTTTTTTACCACAGAACACAGAGACTTGACATTTTCATCACTGTCCACGACTCCGTTGTTGATGGTGATGTTGTTGTTGTGTACAAACTTGGGGCCGATGTGGACCTCTGGGCAGTTGGTGAGGACGATGTTGTTGGGAACAACACTTCCTCCAACAACCTTTTGTTCTGAGCTGGAGTCAGACTTGACCACAGTCGTCCACATTACATAGCTTGGAAATGTAGAAGACACTCACTAGTCACTGTTAACTGATTACTGACTGCTTTTGCTTTAACTGACGACTGGACTGAGTGTTTTGCGATTATATTATCGATGTTTGCAACATCGATGTGTGATTTGACATTTCATTCGAACGAATCATTCGCATTACTTGATACCTGGTGATCTCCCACTGGTATCGCAGCTGCGCCTAGGTCCTGAAAGTTGTCATCCCTCACTATCCCTCATTTTTGTACCTAATAAGTATTGTTTTTAGGTTAGAAAATAGGGTAATTTTCTGTTATAGAGAGTACACCAGATTAGGTTAGGTTATTTGTACGCTAAACGACACATTTTTCACTTAAAATCTTTGGCTACCTAACCTAACGTAGCCTTGTGTGATTGGTACTGCACCTATAACAGAAAAGTACCGAAATTAGATTAAGTATTTGGAGTCCACCAAAGAATTCTTGTTCAACTGATAAATCTGAAGTTTTGGTGCAGTTTGCTCAGATATGTGTGAGTGCGATGTTGTCTGAATCTATATTCTCTTGTTGGTAAATGAAAGTGGGTGTTTAACTCTTTAAAAATTGCACTTGACTTAAGGCAAAAAATACAGAAATTGCATTTAACTTCGCCATACGAGAACGCACTTCTCCGTTGTCTTATTCACATGTTTCAACCCAAAAATAGACAAGTACGTTAATTTAAATATTTTAGATCAGTTGTGTAATTATAGTATTTGAAAATATAAGTAACAGTTTAGTTGACATGTTAGTGAGAACTGAGCAGCAAATGAATTGTGAATGAACACTGAACAGTGTCAATACAAATAGTCAATAGCGATATCAAACAATATCGTATCGCCGTGACGATATTGAAACTCCATTGAATCGATGTATCGGATCACAGTATGGGATAGGATGCAGTGTTGTGATGCGGCGAGAGTCAAGGCCGCGATAACGATAGTTGGAGGGGATTGCGGGAAATCCCAGCAACGGATCAATTAGTAGTCTACAGAGATTGCTGCGATTTAATACATTGAAGTGTGCCCCCATGAGCCATGGGTTGTAGGATTGCAGCCTAGAGGTGGCTGTAAATTAGTTACCACTGATATTTTAGACATATTCATCAAAGAATAATGCAAACGAAATCACTCAGAGAGACAGTTTTAATGTCAAGATTGTCCACCTTTACCTGATAAAGTAGTTTAAAACATAAATACAGTAAAACTTAATTGTTTTAAAATAATAAATTGCTGCTTTGAATAAAGAAGTGACCATGTGTATGTATATATTATTCTGTTCTGGTTAAAAGACCGCAGGTAGATCCTAATTGATTTGTTGATATTGTATTACAAATGTATACGAAGTTATTTAAAATGTATCTTGAATTAATATCCATCCAAATAAACCGGATAAAGTATTAGCTATTTGAAACAATGTAGAGATTTGAAAATTTGTTAAAATGTAATTTTTATGAGTAAAACAGGGGATCAAAATTGGATTGATTTAAGTGCATTCTTATCAATAACTTACTATAAAATAATAAAATGTCTTAAAAGATATTTCTACAAGTTTCAAATACATATGATTACGAGGGTAGGCTACTTGGTAACATACTACAGTACACTTTCTCTTATCCGGACTCCTCGGGACCGAGGCCAGTCCGGATAGCGGGTTTTCTGGTTAAACCGACGTCCCCAAAAACTCGTTAAAACGGGCTGTTTAAAACACCAATAAAATGTCCTTTTCCTACAGTCACCCGACAAAGTTGGCTTCCTTGCACTGATACACAACACACAACAGCAAGCTGGTACTGACAGCAAACTGCTAATTGCTGTATTTACTTACTTTGCTGCACAATTTTTACTTTATCGCACTGTTTTTACTCTGTCGCACACCAGTATTCCAACCAAACAACACAAAACAGCGTGCTTTTATTATGCACATAATCCGTGTACGCTTGGAAAAAGGTTTGCAACACTTAAAGATATTACGACTACGATCAGCTGGTGCAGCGTTTCCCATTTCGTTAATTGTTTGGATTTAACCTAACCTAAAAACGTGTTGTTCAGTGTTTGAAAGACTAATTATTTATATGCTTTATAGTATTTGTAGGAAAAATATAATGTGTAATGCGAGTGTAAACTGCCTTGGCCCAATAGTTACACAAATGACTGTTATATAGTCTTACACTAAAAGAAATATATAGAACTGAAGTGAGACAAAGCAAGGTACTCTTGACCTTAAAACAGGAAAATTTGGTATATGTAGGCTATAATTTCTCACTATCAAAGTGTGGATGTATAAATAAATATACAATATTTTTATTCTTAATAATATATTCTTCTTACCAATTATTTAAATAGATTCACATAATTATATTTACACTCATTATCTATAGCTATGCTCTGATTGAATCGTTAAAGTCATGGCCCAATGTATAAAGAAGAAACAGTTCACAATTTTGAGAATTACAAATTCTTCGGGATATAATTTAATTATGAAGTTTCTAAAGAAATACTATACCAGATGGCTCAGCACAATTCTTCACTTTCGTATTGTTCCAGTGCGGCCAATACTGGATATGTTTCATTATATTCTTTCCAGGACTGTATGGAAACGCTGATTGACGTTGGCAATGACCGTACAACTGATAATCTTTTTTCAACTTGGACCTAGCGACTGCAAACTCAAGTAATGTTTTTGCTGAGTTCAGCATCATTTCGCTGGGTTCATCTCTTCGGAAGTCCCCAATGAATGCAACTCCTAAACTACCTGTATTACTCCCATAAGTATGTGCTCCTATTTTGTCCCAACCACGACCTACGAAAATATGTCCATCACTTACGATCACAAAGTTGTACACAATGTCTTCTAAAGTGTCAGGACCACAGTTTTTTTTACTGATGTCTTGAAGTTCCAACATAATATTCCTGCAGGATGAAAAGTTATTGCAGGTTCCCCCACCAGCCGTGTGGATGAAGATAACTCGTTCTAGAGGGACCGTGTTGTTCGACAATTCTACACATGGAGGGGTGGCTCCCCATTTCTCTCTTGTGACGACCAACGGGTAGTCCTCTGAAATCATTTGAACATAAGTAGATTTTGACAGTATTTATAAGTACAGTTGAACTAGAAGCAGCTTTTTAGCTAGAAGCAGTTAAGTTTAGCAGGTGGACTATCTTTGGCAATGAACTTCTTCGTCTGTTGTGTGATCGTGTGTTCATACGCGTCAAATTTTGAGGTTAAATAAAAAAAAAACATACAGGCTCATCACAAACAACAAGACTTATTTACATTATAATGGATGTAATATGTTTGACATTGTGATATTTTGTGGTTTTTAGGTGTTTTAATTGTTCTATTAGCGGCCGTATTGTATCATTGACAAAGATTGTATCTACTAAGGAATTTTAATTTTTGAATTTATTTATTTATTTATTGTGATAAGCTGTATGTATTTATAAAACATGAGTATTTACTGCATTTTATGATTTTATTAACCAACCTTGACTCTCGTTTTTAGGTCTTTCACGTGCCCTGTTTGTTACCGGACCTGGTGAACTTATCTGATTCCTTAGGTGAATTATTTTCAATACGATTAGCTGTTAATTATAATTTAAATGGGTCATATGTTGGCCTATAAATGCCTCTCTCGTTCTCCTTATCTCGAGATTTTTAATTATGACAAGTGTTACTTCAAACCCCCTAGGGCTACATATATACGTTAAGAGTTTTTCAAACGAAACATATCTCATTATTATATCCCAACCTATTTCTCTATTTTCAGTAAATATTCTCTTATGGTAAAGCGATTTCATAAAAGTAGAGTAATTTTATAAAGTAAGTTATATTTTTCAATGCACAGTATCTATTGTCACAAATACATTATAGTTTGTTTGTTTAGCATTTGATTTAACCTTAAAAATCTGACAAGTTTGAAAACATGATATCGCTTATTGCAGTTATGGGAGAGGACAGGGAGTGGAGTAATGTATCTGCAATAATAAACTGCTTTCAGAGTAAACTAATGATTTTCCCCGAGCAAAGCTCAGTCCCCAGGTACTAATATTAGCAAGATAAGATAACATACTTAAATCACATCACAGACCATGGAAAATGGAGGAATGGAAAGTCCCCTCAGTGGATACAAGCAAATTTTTTAGCTTCATAATAACTGGGTGTAATGTGTTTTGCGTACAATGTAACATGGATTACTGGCAATCAGATTATTTAATTATTACAATTCAATGTATAAACTATATTATCTTTAAAACGTCAAACATCATCTCCCAATGTCAAGCAAGCCAAGAATTTACTTTTCTAGTAAAATATTTTTATTGATTTCTTCCGTTCAATAAACTGAGATAAAACTTCATCTAAATTACATTTACTTCATGGTTTTTATGTTAATTTAATATGTAGAGTTTATTCATCCCGGCACCAAAATACTAACCAAAATGGTGTTTAAATTAACGAGTAAAAACATGGTATTATCAAATATAATGGATTAAAATACGGTTGTTTATGTACATCAAAACAAATATTATAACTTACCAATATTTTCAGGTAGATAGTCAGGTTCTTTTGGCTTCATTAGAAATATTGTGGAGATGATTATTAAAATTATGAATAGGATGGATGTTCCACAGAATATAAATCTAATCCCTTTAGAAATTGTCATACCTGCAAACCTTTTCTGATCTTAGGTCATAGAAAATTTAACATTGTACAGTACAGCTTAGATGATAATATAAAATATTTCAAGATTTTAGGAATGAAGCTAAGGAGCAAAACCAGTGATGAAAACTTTCATCCCTGGAAAAAAAATTCCTACTCTTTACAGAGAGTTACCTTTTCTAATGACAGCTGATATAAAAGAAAGTAACTGTTTCCCAAGTAGTTTAAAGCAAGGGAAACCGATCAGCCGATTTTCCTTTGCTCTGAATCAGTTCTTAATTTTTCCTCTTAGTGCACTAGTGTTTATTTACCATTTATCTTTATAATTTAAAGCAGCTGCTTTTGCAGTTCAACAATACAAATGTTAACAACTGATAAAGCAATCTGATAGAGTATGTAATTGCCTGGCCTGCTGAAACAGCTGTTGCACCAATTCATAATGGAGTGTATGTGCAATGTTTACTGTTATTATTAACATGACAGTAGGCAAGGCCACACTAAATAAACAGGCCGTAATGCTCCTCAGGCATGACGTCATCATAGGCGACGGCAATGATGTAATGCAATTATTTCAGTTATATTTTTGTTTTCCAAGAAAAGATTAAAACAAGCAGCTGATCACAAACGGCAAACAAAAACTACAAGAGTTAGCTCACTATGTTTTGAACAGTAGTGAATCATTGTAATATCAAAGGATAAACAATTCGTCCTTTGCACTTTTACTACTAGATTAAAATATAAAAAAACTTACATTTTTTTACCACAGAACACGGATAATTAACATTTTTATCACTGTCCACGACTCCGTTGTTGATGGTTATGTTGTTGTTGTGGTTGTGTACAAAGTTGGGGCCGATGTGGACCTCTGGACAGTTGTTGAGGACGATGTGGTGAACAACACTTCCTCCAACAACTTTTTGTTCTGAGCTGGAGTCAGACTTGACCACAGTCGTCCACATTAAATAGCTTGGAAATGTAGAAGACACTCACTAGTCACTGTTATACCGATTACTTATTTCTGCTAGCTGCTAGCTAACCTAACAATTATTCTACTCCAACTGACGGACTGACTGAACTCAATACTCAATTCTAATTGAGTTTTTTGCGATTAACTAATCGATATATACTATGTATCGTATAGTCTTATCGATATTCTCTGATGCAGTGTTGTGATGCAGGTTGTGATAACGCAGGTAATCTAATTGTTAATATTGTATTACTATTTTATACGAAGTTAATAAAAATGTAGATTAAATTTATACCCATCCATATAAACCGTATAAAGTATTGGTTTGAAACGATGTGAGACATTTGAACATTTGTTAAAATGTAAGTGTATTTACGAATAAAATAGGCGAGACTCAAAACTAGATTGATTACAAGCGCATGCTAACTGACTATAAAAATGACTTTGAAAGTTTTGTGTAGGTTTCAAATACATATATAATTAGGAAGGTAGGTTAAACGACAAACCAGACTAAAACAGTAATAAAATGGGGAAGACTTCCGCACAGAACCTACGATATATATCGTTTTTATCCGGCCCAATAATAATATCGTAATGATTTTAATTAATTGTATCATATAATATTTAAATAAAAACAAAAACAATAACATTGACGAATCTTTTTATTCATCCTTTGTTTGCTTCTAAATAGTTTCTTTTTATTCATTTTATTCCTTCGTTTTCTATTAAGTATTTAATATTAAAATGCCCCGCCGCAGCAAACCTGCAGACTTAGGGAATTTCAACTCGTCTGATTACATTTTTACTAATATTTTTCCATAAATATGACATATTTATTCCATATTTAAATAACATTAGATTTTACGAATGCTTAGGTTTGCTGCTACGGGGAAGGTAAAAGTGTTTTTTGACCATATGTCAATAGTATAGGATGAAATGAATAAATTTGCCAAATTTTATCAATATATATCCAAAAACAAGATAACAAGAAGACAACAATTTTCATTTTCTCTTTAAGAATAACATGCAAATTTTAAATTACACTATTTTTGAATTTTCTCCGTGACCGTTAGGCATACAACAGCGCTTCTACTACTATATTATTATATTATATTATATTATAATATAATATAATATAATATAATATAATATAATATAATATAATATAATATAATATAATATAATATAATATAATATAATTTAATATAATATAATATAATATAATATTATTTATTTTTTAAGCTCTACAAAACGGATTAAAAAGAAATTGCAAAATTTTATGTTTTAAGGGTGAAAAATGGGAAAACCCAATTTTTAACCCATAAAATCCTCCATAAACTCCCGTTCCCATGGTCCGATTATGCTGGATCGCGAACTCGTTCGAATAAACGTAAGTTTACACGTTTGTACCAAATTTCATCAAAATCGGTTAATTTTTGCTCGAGTTATCGTGCTAACGGACACACACACACACACACACACACATATAAATATAGATATATATAAATATATATGAATTTGAACGGATGGTGTTTTTAGCCTCTAGGGACCTCAAAATGAAAAATTAAATCGGTCTTGGGTCCAGGTCTAACCATTAGTACTACGGTAATAGCTTATTCCCTATATGGGAAATTCGCTTAAACTGTTATAAAATAACAAAACCTAACCAAACTTGCTGTATGATTTCATGAATCGGTTTTATAAGAGAAAAGGCATATGGGACATAAGACATAAGACATAAGACATAAGACATAAGATCAATTTATTTCCTGTAAAACTTACAATATACAAGTCATTGGAAAACGTCAAATTCTACATTATAAAATACATTATAAAATATACATGAGATCTATGAATAAAAAGAAATTCCTTCAACATCATATAATAAAAGGAAATGCATACATAATGTGACCTGTAACTCACCATGCAAAGAATGAAAAAGAAAACAAAACAGCACACTCGGCAAACATCAGTAAAAAAAAGTACTTACATATTCTTTTTTTAGTTTATAGAAATCGTCAATACTATACAGTGGGTTGGCCAGGAGGAGACGTTCCACGCCCCTTTTGAAATGGTTGCTTGGAAGGTTCCGGGCTGAACAAGATAACACATTGAATAGTTTTAGGGTTACAATGTCATAATTACTTTGTAATTTCTTCAGCCTAACAAAAGGTACATTTAAATCCTGTTTACTTCTAGTATTGTACGAGTGGATGTCACTCCTGAGCTCGAGAGCGCCCAACTCCTCCTTAGTTTTGATGAGGGTCTGGAAGATAAACAGATTAAAAACCGTCATGAGGGATTCAGCTTTAAATATAGGCTCACAGTGATCCAGGCGCTTGGCCCCTGCTACTATTCGTATAGCCTTTTTTTGGAGAAGTAAGACTCTCTCGACTCCAGGAGCGGCACCCCAAAGTCTCAGTCCATAAGTTATGATGCTCTGGAAAAAAGCCACATACGCAGTCCTTAACCACTCTTTTGGTACACAGTACCTCAACTTACGAAGCAAGTGCACAACCCTAGCCAGTCGGCTACAAACATAATAAATATGGCTATTCCAATCCAGCTTACAGTCTAGGTAAATACCTAAAAGCTTTACGCTTGTTACCTCATGCTCAATGTTTCGGAGACTGAAAACAATAGATTGGGTTTTTTCTTGATTTAAAAAGAAATAGTTTGCCCGGAACCAGGTAGATGCAACATTCAAAGATTAATTTAAAGCCAAGTTCAACTCAACAGCACTATTTCTAGCTTCCACAATTGTAGTGTCGTCTGCATAACAAACAACACCATTACCAAGGCACATGGGAAGGTCATTAATCGATATATTGAAGAGCAGGGGCCCGAGTACAGAGCCCTGCGGAACGCCATGGATTAGGTTGCTGATACTTGAGGTTTTACCATTTAGGGACACCAGCTGCCCGCGCTCGGCCAGATAGGACCTCAGCAAATCAAGGCTTTTATCATTCAAACCATAGAAATTTAACTTTTTTAATAAAATTTCATGGTCAATAGTGTCAAAGGCCTTGCTGAGGTCACACAGGGTGGCCCCAGCAAAACCGCCACTTTCAAACGACTCAAAGATTGGCTTTGTCAAAGAGTACACTGCATCTATTGTGCCGCGGCCCCACCTGAAACCGAACTGGGCATCTGCCATCAGGTTATTCGATTCTAGATAGTAAGAGAGTTGTTCTTTAATAATTCCTTCAAACACCTTGGAGAAAACAGGTAAAATAGATATGGGCCTGAAATTTTCAGGAACATTGTGGTCTCCTTTCTTATGGATAGGAACTACTCTAGCAGTTTTTAAAATCTTAGGAAAAATACCATCCAGAATACAACAGTTTATACAATAAGTTAAAGGAAGAACGGTAGAACTAATAGTATCTTTAACAAAACTGGCAGAAATATCAAAAATATCCTTACATTTGGAGCTCTTTTGTGTCTGTACAACAGACAGGACCTTCTCACATGGTACAGGCATAAAATCCAGAGTGCTGGAGGGTCTGGGCTTTCTCTCGAGCAGTTCTATGGCCGAAGTCGTTGGAGTCCCAATGGCGTCCCTGGTACGCTGAACAGAAGTCACAAAAAAGTTGTTAAAATCCTCTGCAGACAGGTTGGTTTTGGGAGAAGACTTTAGAGGAGCACCTTCCCTTTTGATGACAGACCACGCTGCCGAACAGGGGTTTTCAGCAGATTTGATGAGATTTACATTGTGTTCAAACCTAGCTCGTTTAAGGTTAAGTTGGAATTCCTTTTTAATATTAATGTATCTTGACTTTGTTTCATCGGTTGGTGAATTTCTATATAAGTCATAGGCTAGAAGCTTCCATTTTTTAAGTGTAACAAGTTTGGGGTCTTTCCAGTAAGGGAAACTAGGGTTTTTAGGCTTAACGCGAGGTCGCCTGGCCCTTTTTGGGAAACACTCATCATATACTAAAAGGAAAGTTTTAAAAAAGTTTATAAAGTTTTCTTCTGCACTACCATTAAGAAACACCTTTTCCCATTCAACATCGTCCAGTGCTCGAATAAA